GAAAGAGAAAAACGTAAACGTAACAATTGCTGTTCATCAACAAACAGTTATTGAATCAAAGCGGGCCTTTCATTAATAATAATTATGAAAAAAAATTAAATTATATCTCAAGAGTTGAGAGAATGCATCGACAGAAAAAGAGGTGAGCACCGCACACACATTTCTTGGCTTAAAAATAAAATGAATTAGTCATTTATCATTTGAGCCAGAGTACACCGAAGTCCCTTTTAAAATGTGAAGCGGGAAAATTGTGTGTTTGGTTCAGTTCTACGAACCATGCGAACAAAACTATGAAATGGTAACGAAAATTAAATTAAAGAAGAAAAAAAATAGAGAAAAAAATAAAACAGAAAAACAATTCAATCATTTTTCATTATTTCTTAATTTGTGCGATCAAATACGAACAAACAAACATACACACAATTCGCGATTGTGTGTGTTTTCATTCGCTTTTCCTGTAGCAATGTTTTCCTTTCATTAACCCCTTTTTACCATTTCAATACGATGGTGTTTCTTTTGTTTGCGGCTTGCCGAACACATTTTGCTTTTCTTTGTTTCACTTCGGCGAGATTAGTTTTACGCTTGCAAATTGTTTTCGGTTTTCAAAGCCAAAATGGCTTGATTTTCTTTTCATAAAGTGTGTACACGTGCCGCACACAAACACACAACCAACTTTAATTATATCGTATACAATCAACAATTGTGTGCAACAACAGCGACGGCGACGGCGGCGGCAGCAACAACGGCAACCAAATGCATACCTTTAAATTTGCTTTTGATTTATGAATATATTGTGCATTGTTGTCGGATCATGGTGAGAACATATCCGATTCGATTCAAAAACTCAACCAATTTACCGAAATGAATAAATTAACAGCACGCAGATAAATGAAACAAGAAAAAAAAAACAAATGTACTAACCACTCATTTTGTTATGCAAACCGTGATAATATACTATCTGTATGCAACAAAAAGGAACGCACTTTTCAAATAGTTCAAGATCAAAGTACTTTGAACCAATGTCTTTGCTGCTAATTTCATTCAATGTTAAATAAAGAAAAGAGAATCAGTTTTCCGCAAGATTTTTGAGAAATAGTAACGAATGATAATTGAAATGTTAAACGTTTTTTTAAATATGTTGATATAATTGATAAGAAATCTCCGACTGCCCGTGAAATACAGAATCAAAATCGAAAGCAAAATGTGTTTATCGAAAAACAATCAAGAATTTTGCCAAAACTCACGAAATCAACGCATGTGCCGATCGAATGAAAAGGTGACAAAATTTGGGTGGCTCAAAATCAGTTTGTTCCGGTTATGTGAATTTTGTTGTTATTTTTTTTTGCTTGCTTTGCTTCACATATGCAATTGAATTTCGAGCAACGATCTATTTCGGTCTAATATTTGCTAATTCCAAAAATGGGACAAAAAGTGTTTTGATTCAAAAAAAAAATTAACGACATAATGAAAATTAAATTAAATCATATGTCATATTTTCAACTAGAGACACACGGATGCTGAATGTAAAATTACTTTTGTTAGATTTCTGAGAGAAAGAGACATTTTGTCAAGTAAATTTAAATTGTCCAAGTTGCAGCAATTTGTTTACATAGCAAATTACCATTGCATGATGCTTTGTTATGATGATATGCACTGATAATACAGACAAAGTCGAATGTCAGCTGATGGCTGAACATTGAAGTTGTCATTTTGTGTTATATAAGAATATGATCATGCGACAAGTCGTGCATTTAGTGACGGAATCCAGAAAGTGTGATAAATGGATTAACGTGTCGCCTCCAATACACGTGACACTTGAATTTAACAATATTGAAGTACGAAGAGAGATTTATGAGAAGAGCTGTACAGTTGAAATGTGTATTGAGTGCACGCAATGTTCGATTTCGATGCGATTCATTGAATAAGAGCGGAATAAACCCGGAAGATGATTTTAACGATGCCCCGTCATTTTCTTTTGCATTTGAATTTTGTTTTCGGTGTGTACGCATATTCAAGTCAAAATAATCAAAGGAATGTATCAAAAATGTAATTTAATGGGATTTGCTCTTTTAGTTGGAGAGTATTATAATGGAGGGAATTATGTAAACGCGAGCACGGCATCAAAGAAAGAAAGAAATACTCATTTATTATTCATTTAATAAATTCATGCGCGCACTTTCTTCTTCTTGGAAGGAAAAAATAAATAAAAAATTAGGCGGCAGCGGCAACAACATTGTGATTGAAACAGCGACCGTCAATGTGCAAACGAACGAAAGAAAGCAAACGAATGTCGAATTAAAATAAAAAAAAAACAATTGCATTAAATGTGCGCAATAACAAGCACCTTTCGCATAATCGGCTGGTGGTTCGTTTATTTATTTATTTTTGTGTGTGCATCAAGTGTCTTTGTTTTGTGCACACGCTAATGTATGTGCGTGTGTGTGTGTGTATGTGTCGATTTTTAAAGATCACATTGTATGTGCACGCTCAAAGTTTCACTATTTTCCGGTCGGCCGTCACAAGCCTTCTATGATTCAATATTTTTATTTTATTTCTTTAGTTCGGTTTTTTTTTCGTTATTCTTTCTTTACCGTCGTTTGGTGTGTGCGTGTGCATGTGACACTGAACGTGCAATGATAACAATTCCAATGTATAATGTGCGAATAATTATGCAAACAATCACGTGATCATCATCGTATTGTGCCATGTGGTATGTGTTTGTGTCATTCCCATTGTTGACTCTTTTTTTTCGCTTTATTTTTTTCTGGCCAATTCATGATGTGCTCATTTCAATCTCGCTGTCTGTGTATTTTTCTTCTCTTCTCTCATTTAGAAACCATAAAAATGGCCTATTGTCACTAATTAAACCGCATACAATGGCCGCCACTTGATTCTATTATTATTATTATTTTTCGTTCGAAAGAAAAAATGAAACCTATTGAATTCGAACAAACAATCAAATCATCAATTCAAACGGAGAAAGATAATTTTCATTTCACATTTAACTCTCGTTTTTTAAGATGTCATTAACATCGAATGGACATAAAACGAAGTTAATTGACCGAATGAAGCTGACGAAGAATATTCTCGGCAATTGAAAAAAATGTGATTGAGATAAATGTTAATTGGGAGAAGAAGAAAAAAAATTAAGCCGGACATGATTTAGCATTTATCGGCTTCTTTTTATAAAGATTATTGCAAATGAATTGATTGCGTTGTATTTATTATTTGTAGAGCAGCAAATCATAAATGTGGTGATGAGTGGGAGAACTCTCGCATTTTGCGATGCACAATTTTCGCCTCAAATGTACATTGAACAAGTCTTCCTATGTGACGACGTGCATTTCGTACGTTTTGAAAGTGAAAATTAAATATATACTCAACATCGTCGTCGTCTTCGTCTTCGCCGCCATCATCATCATTATAGTCTTTGATTATCGTCAATTTAGCTTTTTCTTAGCTCTTTGATTTTATGATGTGCACATGTATGTGTACGCGTTCGACATCCGATGAAAAAAAAACTCTCAATGGTTCTGTCTATTGATCATTTATTAATTTCAATTATCATTATCGATGTTCGGCAAAGATGAAGTGAGCGTGCGAGTCTGGTAGATTTGCGCACGATTCAATTTTTCAAACTTAAAATGCACGAATGTCTTTGACCAAGACGGCCTCAAAGGATCAAAGAAGAGATGAATCAAGTGTTTTTGTTGGTCTTTTTTTTGTTTTCATTGGAAAATGTAAGCAACCAGATAAACCAGTTGTAAAAAAAACAACAACAACTATTAATATACATTGTTTTGATTGAGCAAGTCTGATTGCTCGCAAATACCGCAAGCAAATCAATTTTCAGTAAATGAAACACACATTGTGTTCCGACGTGAAAAGGATTTGGAGGCAAAGAGAGAAAACGTCAGTGATAGAGATAGAAAAGAGAGGGAGAGAGAGATAGAAGACCCACCAATTTCATCTTATCAAATTCCAAACGACTCGCATCGATCAACTGTTGGCGAAGTTAATGTATATTGACATTGGCCAAGTGTGCGTGTGTGTGTGTGTACATGTACAAGCGAACAAGCTCTCGTTCCGCTGAAATTGTTTTGCAATTGCACATTCCATTCGAAAGATTTATGCTCATTTCTTCATTTTACTTGTCAATATTTTTGCTACATATAACGACAACACACATATAAATGGCGCGTAATAAGTTAAGAGCGCGCTAGCGACTTCGATTGCTTATTTAACATGGTCTAAAAGAAAATCAGTCTATGTAAACTATTTGTAGTTTGGTTACTTTGTCTTTTGTGTGTTTTTTTAATCTGTGTTTCTTTTTTTTTTGTCTTTCTTTCTTTCTTTATTCACGGTGCGCATATGAATGTACCACCGATCGATAAAGTCGTTTTGAAAGAAAAGTGAAATTTATCTATAAATATCGCGATTGAATGTCGATATACATATAGTCGCGCATATAGTGTGTATATCGTTCTTCTTCTCAATGATGTGTGCAATGTGCACACTGAATATGTGCTGTGGCGGCAATAACATTGAAATGTGCCAGAGAATGAATCTGATTTACTGATTTCGGAAAAAGCTATTTGGAGTCCTTTTGATGACATTCTATGTCAATCTATTTATTTGAAAAGTGTCCCCTGACTAAGGCTTTGATTTGTGTAAATTCGCACTTGGAGTGTACGTTTTTAATATTCATTCAGATTTATGCATTACACCTTATTGGTTCGATGGACTAATTTCGAGATATGGACAAAATTCAAAAAAAAAAAACAAAATTTCACATGACTTTTATTGGTAGCCGAAAAAGAGCAACTATCCTGTTCGAAGTGGCAAAACATGACAAAAATTTATTTTATTAACCGAAACAAACACAATTTGACGAAATACCAAAGATTTTTTTTCTTCTCAACACCATTACCTGTTGATCCGCACTAATAATATAATTTAATTTGATTTTTCTTCTCTTTTCTTTTCGATTTCATATGCAGAGCGAAACAACACAAAAAACATAATCTTTCAGTCCAAACCGAATAGTGAGTTAACGTCATAGAGAAGGTGATCGAGCGCAAGTGAAAGAGATCATTGAAAAACTTGCGGAAGAGAAAGAGAGAGAGAAAATAGTTTTTGTCGCTTCGATTGTGGACTCTTGTACATACATATAGACGTTTGGTGCTATACACAAATCGCTAAGTGGAACCAACGAAAAATAAAACAACAACAACAACAAAAGAAACAACGACTGCACACATCCAACACGAGAGAGAGAAAAACCTTAAACCATCGAACGAACCAACCGACACGAAATATATTGGTTTTGCACTTACAGCAAAACACATCGATCCACCAGTTTGCTTAAGCAGTCCGTTTCATTCAATTCGTATCTTCTGCACTTTGGTGACTCTTGTTAGTTGTGTGTGTGTTTACTGTGTGATCGTGAACGAATGCGCGCGCGTATTCGGGCTCTTTCGCATATTCGATTTTGATTCAGTGTGTGCTCTGCTATCCGTACGTGTTTCATCCACTTCGTGTGTCTTGTTTTGTATATCGAATACATGAACTCAAAAGAAAAATATATACAATAACAACAACAACAACAACAACAACAAAGAAAAAAAAATTATATTTCAAGTGTAAACACCAGAAAAAAAGTGAAACTCTATGATTTCGAATACAAACGTTAAACAAGATTAAAAGTGAAATTTTCGTTAAAGTCTTTCTTAGTTCGTTGGTTTGTCTTTGACAGTGGTTCTGGTTCGCTGTCACCGCTTGAACTTGCTTTATGGTTTCATTTAACCCATAAGTCTATCTAGATAGTGTGTGTGTGTATGTATGTAATTTTCATCTCTTTCTCGTTGCCGCCGTTTTGCAACGAAAATAATAACAACAGCCACAAAAATATTTTAAATGATCCTTCGACAAATTGCCATTGTTTGACATTTTAAGCGCACAACTTGATCGACACTTACAATTTTTGAAGGTTCATCGTTAAAAGCTCATCAATTCTTAATTGAAAAAGAAAATAAAATGTACTAACACTTCCGTGATTGGATTTGTGTAAACCATTCGTCTTATTGATTGGCAATACTTAAAAGTTCAGCAGTAAAGCTTGTCTGCATCGCACACGGTTCATCATCAATTATAATCGGTTTTATAATCAACATCAGTGTAGTCAAAAGTGCATATAATCAGCTGTAGTTTACTAACAGTGCCTGTTGCGTGTGCGTGAATGCGTGTGGATGCGTTTAAATTTTGCGCGTTCATCATTATAAATCGTCCACTAAATAAACAGATAGCCACCAAAACGGAGAAATAATGCCCAATAATCGATTACGACGGTAAATTGGGTGTCTATAAATGCGTGCGTTGATGGTACATCGAACACACATTGTGCTAAATTGTTGTTGTGGAAATCAGAGTTTACTCGCGTATGCGCAACATCATCATCTATTTATTTTCGAAGAAAAGCGAACCGGATATTTTTTTCGCATAGAATCATGTTAGGTCCCAATAAATGGAGACTTTTAACAATTGTAGCTGGTATTCTATTAGCGCATGCCATTGATTCACCAAATCGAACAGCTCGACGAATAAATGAGCCAACCAGTCAACAACAACAACAACAACCGCGCACATTTGCCTCATTTTCAACATCATCATCATCACTGCTATCACCATCAAATGAACCAGTTGCAGCAGCTGCATCATCATCATCATCGCCAACATCCACACACTTAGGTTTAACAATAGAAACAGTTGCACCAACACGGAATAATTTAAATAGTTATAGAAATAGTTATAGTGAACGACGCTTAGCTAGAAATTTGTATACACCATATAAACGGTTTTCAAATATCGACAATGTTCGATTTATGGAACGCCGTCAAACGACTGGCTATCGAAGTAATATCCTTGATCGTCACACAACATTTGGTGCATTTCGATATGCATCGCCCGTTATCAATGGTCACGGTGACATCGGTGTTGGTGTAAATACAGCGAGACGACGATCGGACGTTGTTGATGCGTCTGCATTTGATTATGCAAATACAACGCTATCAAATCCATTGGATGATGATAGCATTGTTACAACAATAAAACCAACCACATTACAAGCGATAAAACGTCGTAAATACAAGTACATTCCATTGATTACAAATGGCATTAAAGGTGTGAATAAAAAATTAGATTTTGATTTTGAGTCGACCACATTGCCAGAGCTTGAAATTCGATCACGAACGGATTTGAATTTTTATGCCGACGATGGACCCGAATCAAAAAAACCAACCAACGATAAACCAGATAATGAACCATTGGCCGAAGGTTCTGAAACATTGCCACAAGCATTGGCATTAAAATCGACATTTCAACGATCGCATATTTCGAATAAAGTTGCATTTCCAGAGCCAACATTCGAAACGCCCGCATCGACAACGATAACACAAACATCAGATCTTCAGGGTCGTCGATCGGGTTTAACGTTTACACAACAAACACCAAAATTTGATCCACCATTCGTACCACAGTCGTATCAGGAAGATGATCCAAATCATCCAAACTTTCAAGTTCCGTACAGTGAAGAACTATCACCACCCGAACCAACCGAAATTCGTACAGCACGCGGTGTTCACTATGATAATTATGCACATCGTTCAGCGTCAGTGGTTCAATTTCCGGGTCCAAGTACAAATCATAATGGTAAACCATTCCGAGATGATGTCACTAAATTTGGCGATGTTAACGGACCAATTACATCGTTGCAACAACGACAATTCAACGATTACTATGATGGTCTTCGAACTTATGAGAATATATACTATTCAGATGACTATCGTCGACCACGTCAATATCCAAATCGTTCGCCATACTATGATTTTAATGGCGAATATTCAGGGCAACCATTACGATCACGTCTCATTGTACCATACAAATCATCACGAACACCACGCGTCATTTTTCCCACCAACGATAACCTTCCCACTGGACTATACGCTGGCGAAAATTACAGTAATAATGATAACGTTGTTTTTAGGTAAGCTCATATGATTATTTAAACCATGCGAATCACAAGCATTTTGAATTCGCGGCACTTTTCTGAAGAATTCTAATCAAGAATAAAAACCGTATTTTACTTTTGATATAACTTATGTGTGATTATGGCTATATCGCCAAATTGAAAACAATGAACACATTTTGACCTGAATTGGATTAAAAATCCAATTGTGTTACCCGTTGTGGGCGAAATTTCTCAATATCGATAAAAATGATAGTGGTGCAGCTTCAGTGCGTGCCGAACGATGCCGAAATTCCATTCCGAAATATTCACAATGAGAATTATTTTTTTTTTATTATGCAGTCATTTTTTTTCTCTCCTCAAATAAAGCGTTATGGTAAAAAAATGGTTTGGTAGTATTAATGTTGACCATAATCCATCCATCTTAAATTCGTTATTATATTATTATTGTTTGCCACTTAAGCAAACTTTCCATTTTGCCAAAAAAAAAAAAAATAATAATTGTACAAATGGCTGCATGCATAGTAATTAAAAAAAAAAGCACACCGCAAAAGAAAAAAAAACAGAAATACGTTAAACTATATATTAAATTGTATGCAAAGTGGCAGAGCAAATGCGCCGCGACAAACCAAACGAACCGTTGTAAAAAAACACACACATATATATCGTCTGATTCATTAACTTTTTTTGTACTTTCATTCCATTCGCGATGTTGCAGAGATCAAAATTTTGGATTAAATGAGCTGGCCGCAATCCAGGATGTTCGTAACGAATACAATTTACAGGACATAACTGACGAGCCACCATCATCATCAGCAACAACAAACGATCGCGGTAAGTGTATCCATTCATAATATTTTAGAATTTCTTCCGCCCTTAAACTACTCACACACTCAGTTTTAATCAATGTTCTCAGCCAGATGAAGCATCTAAAAATTAAAAAAAAATAAATAAATTGCCTTACCCTCGAAATAATTTACGACCAATAGGGTCGGACAAAAGTGTATGGAATTTGTAGACGCTTTTAAAATAAACAACATTTTTTCGGACTAATTGTAAGTGGATGTCAAAATCTTACCAACTCGAATCGGACATTTTTTTTTTTGGACTAGTTAACCCGAGACTACTGAATAACAAAAAAGAAACAAATTCCAATACAATCAATATCTGACTTTCTATACATATTTCTTTTTTTGTATATTATACGTTGAGTTTGTGTGTATAGTATACATATTGTGCGTATTTGAAATAGAGATACAAAGGGAAAACTATTCAGAAGAAACCACCTGAACGTATATAGATTCACTTATGCGCACATACATATAATTTGCAAGTCATTTTAGTCTATTTGAACCAATTCGGAACATAACATGTATACATTTCCTATAATTTCATATGTTGAATGAACTCAGGCACATTCAATAATAAATTCTGTATAGATTATATAATTAGAATCGTAGATGTTCATTTTGTGTTTGTTTTTAGTTTACATTTCCAATAATTCATTAAAATATCGTTTGTAAATGTTGTTGTTGTTGGTTTTTATGTACATCTCAAAATCACAGGGAATCAATTGCTCGAATCGCATAAAATGAACACATACATTTCATTCTGGATAAATGTGTGTGTTTCGTTTTGTTTGTATAAATTGTATTGTAGGTGCAATATAAATAATATAATGGTTTTTTTCTCTTTATTTTTTGTTGTTGTTTTTAACATTTATTCTCTCCTTGATCGTGCCATTAGTCCCAATCGATCGGCCAGTTGGTTGTAATCTTTATAATCAAAATGCAAACCATTAAAGTCAACACTTATACCGGTGTGATTTATTACAAAGCGCCCATAAAAAACTATAAACATAAATGTATGCATATGTTCAATAAAATATGACGAGAGTGAAAAAAAAGTAATAATAATAATGAATCATGCAAGTTTGGCCTCTATAGTGTAAAGAAAAAAATTTCACCATCAAATCATCACTTGGCGTTGGCGACTGTTGGCATGGATGCGATGTATAATCTATGTTATACATATTGAAATGTGGGCTTTATTTCTCTCGGTAAAAAGAAAAGTGAAGAGATCGTGTCGGTGATTTTGTAAAATGCGTTAAATTGTGCACGCTTAATTAACGAAATATTTTTTTCGTTTGGTGTATATGTTCCCCTTCGTTCCGAATGAAAGAAATAAACAACGAAATATCGCGACATTTACAAGCGATCAAACAAACCATCTATTCATATAAGAAAGTTACAAAAGGCCTTTTTTCCTCTCTGCATTTTATGGTCTCTGAACTTAAACTAATTTTTATATATACATGCCATTTTCAAGTCTGTTTAAATTTATCTTTTTCTAAATTGGTTTTTCTCTCTGACTCTTTTGATTTTGGGTTAATTTCATGTGTTTTTCTGCATAAAAATTCAAGACGTTCGGCATAATGCAAACGCTCCAAATAATTTCACATTTCTTACATACTTCTGCATATATTCAAGACTCAGTAGCAGTTCAATGCTTCGTGACGATCACAACGTTATATCTACGGAACTTCTAAGAAATGTTCATTACAAATCAAAATATTTTCTGAAATTCGCATTAAAAAGATTTAAAGAAAAGATTCGATATACAAAACACACACGAGAGAGAGAGAAAGAGATAACATGCATCTTTTGTTGCGCATAATTCTTTCGTTTATTGTATTATAACCACATCATAGTAAGCATATGCTTATTAGTGGCATATATTTCGTATGGTTTTTGATTTTTGTATTTTTCTTTGTACATAGTGTGTATATGTTGTTGTTGATGATGTTTTTTGTTGTTGTATTATATGATATAAATAAATTAGCATGAATAATTTGTCCGATTTGTGTATTATATTTCGTTGATGAAATTGGTATCTGTGTTTAATAGGCTAATGTACAGCCAGTGCTCATACACACACATAGGACACGGCCGCCGCCGTCTCCGCCGTATACAACTGCATAAATTTGCAAAATTATGACGTAAAGAAATTAACAAAACGCATAGTCGAAATGAAAGAAAAAAGCACGCACACACACTAAAAACATCATGAACCAACCAGTATCCAGTAATAGCGAAATGAAATGAAAAAATAAAATCATACAAAAAGCACTTTCTCCTGGAAACGCATCTCTTTCTCCACTTATATGATATAATTTGCTGCTCATCGATTTAACACATATCCACTGCGCAAACGGTGAACATTCATAACATAATACAGAGCGTGCATTCAATGCGGAAAAACAACATTCCCTTTGCTGAAAAACTGAACAACAACAGAAAAAAAAACCTGCTGAAGAAGAGCAAAATTGAACAAAAAGCACTCTTCACAACAAAACATGCAACAAATAATGGGACGTCTGTTCAAAGAAAAAAAAAAAAAGAGAAAAAAACATTATCGGAAGCATATGGACGAATTTTAAAGAATTGAATTATTGCATTGTTATTTGTGAATGCCCCTGATTTGCGAACATTTATATTAATCAATTTTGATCAATACAATCTTCACTTTCGATGAGAGAGTTTTATTGGTACAATTTGTAAAATTACCATTGATTTCCTTTTTTTTTTTTTGGTTAAATTCAATTCAAATTCAATTCCCATTTTGTGAATGGATGATAAGAATAAAAAAAATCTACGGAAATTATGGTCAAACGATAATTGTTGTTGAAAAAATGCGATTTATAAAATATGAAATGATTGAAATATAATGACCGACTGCTCTTAGATTAATGATCAATCGAAACAAAAATTGACGTTTTTAAGCAATTTCACCCTTTTTTGTGTCTCGATCATCGTTACAGTCATCTTATTTCTCTGCCAAACTCCTATTTTTTTTTTTGTCGTAGCGCTACCACACACTCATCTTCCGCTTAACTAAAGTTTCAAATCATAATATGAAAGTCGATTCGGTCTTTGATCTGGTCTTCATTTACCTCTTTTTCGCGAGACTTTTTTGTGTTTTTTTTTTCGTTTTTTTTTTCATGATTAAAATAAATTTGAAATGTTTACCAATATCAGACGTTTACTATCGTATCTGCATTGCATATTATCATTATTGTTGTTGGTGGTGCTGCTGCTACGAACGTGCATCAGGTTTTTCGAATGTATAATTTATATGTGTTATTATTTTTTCTAAACAAAATACCTGCATTTCAACTACTTTAGATTTTATTGCCGGTTTCGAATTGATAACTGCAATCGACGGTGTATGTGCAGTGGCCGCAACAGCAGTCGCCATTTGTGAAACTGAATTTGTTTTCAATGATCGCAGCATGTACGTGTCTGTCTCTCTGCATTTGTTTTATTTAGTTTTTTTTTTGTGTGCATAAAACATTTATAATTGGACCAATATTGTCATTGACATTTTGGCATAACATGCATCGACTTCGTTGCAATTCATTTCTAAATTTAACATAATATTACCATATTCCAAGTTCAAGTACGACACAAATTATTGGCACAATATTATTGAGAGCATAAAAAGCATAATCGAAATATCAATTAAAATGACCACATGACTGTTTTTTTTTTTTTCAATTTTATTTTGCTTCTCTTTCGTTTTTCTTAATTTTCGTTGAGATATTCACGTAAAATCAAAACTACTTTCTTTCTCGCCTTTTTAATTGCAATTAAATTGCAATGACCTCTGCGCATGCCACATTTCAATGACTATGCATAAAATCAAATGTAAATGGTTCAAAAGCCACATTCTCTTTCAAAACATTAATTGAATTTGAAGAAGTGAGAAAAAAGACATTACTTAAGCCTTGATCATCGCTCATTTTTATACACTGCAAAGTGCCTTTTTACATATTATATATAATTAAATTTGCAACTATGTTACACTGAAACTGTGGAATTACGATTTTTTCTTCTTACAAATCGGCTAACCGGTAGAATTGAACGATAATGACCATTCAACTGATAATAATACATAATTTCGACTGCACTTATGGTGCAGTATAATTTCAATTTGAACATGGTTGTTTCCTATTCAATTTCAATTTCAACAAAGTAAAGATAAAGAAAAAAAATCGAAATTAAAATTGTTATGTCAATCTGGTGTGGTTGAATCAAAACGGTAGCCAATAATCAAAAAGTCTGGCTAACCATAAAATGCAAATGCTCGAAGAAGAGAAGAAAAGATACCTGAGTTGATTTGAAACCAGCGGAAAATGTAATAAACGTTTTTTTTTCTTCTTTCCGAAATGGCACTCTTGAAATCGTGTTGAACAAATCAACGTTGTAATGTGAAAGAAATGGTTTTAATGCGAATGGGGCACGTAAAATTGGACATGAATGTTTAATGCCGAAACAAATTCGGTGTAAGTGCCAATTAAAAATGATCATGAAGTAAAGATGCGAATCGCAGCATCATATATAGACGAAGACAATGACAACAACAAACACCTCAATGCTTTCCATGCACCAGAATTTAAAACGTACACACTTCCACCGCTTGCGCACATTGCTGATTTTCATTATTATTTTTCATTGGCATACGGTATAAAAGTCGTTATGATCGCAATAAAAATGTTTACTATCGCAATGGGTAGAAATAAATCTGATTTCATTTGGTTTATGATATGCCGTGTTGCTGCTCTTTGAAAAAAAGATAAATGTGAAAAAGCAGTCATGCATCATATACGGTGCGCAATAATTTCATGTTTTTCATCTATTTTGAATTGATTTTAGCTCATTCGTTTTGAGCGATTTTTTTTCTTCTCTGGATTATACCACGTTTCAAGGAAGCAAACATGTGCGGTGTGCAACATACACACTAAAGAGATGTGAAGAAAAGTAACAAAAAAAAAATTGGTACGAGCTTTAAATCTTTTTCCTGTTTGGAACTAAATTTAATATGTAAACACTAGAGTGAGAACGAAAATGAAAAGTGAAGGCGGACACCAGTATGCTTGCAAAATGCAATTATCAAACTAAATTTTGGGTTGAAGCTTAGCAATGAAAGAAAATAAGTTTGTGACCGATGTCCATTTAGGTGTTTACCACGCCCACCCTTTTTCTATCGCCAAAAACACACACACACACACGCAAATCTTTCCAAATGGCTGCGTTTTCTTCACTAAATATTTGCGATTGCAGACTTTCACCGATATTCATTCCAAAAACAGACCACAGAGTACACAACAACATACATGTTGCCAAATAAAAATATTTGCATGCAAAAACAATTATTAATCGACTTTTCTCTTTTTTGACACACAAAATCGAACCACTTCTTCTATGAGAATCGACCATGTACGCATTTATTGTATTCGTCGGGCCAATGACTCTGCATTGTTGAGTATGTGCCGGAAATAAAACCAATCAACACAATTGACATTGGCTAACTATGGAGAAGCATCTTATTTTAACCGACCGCAAAAACCTCCCACACAAACTCACCAAAGTAGTTCATCGATTGTTGTTATACTCTCATTTGCATTTGGTAAATTAACAAAGCTATTAACTGCCATAATTGAGATAGAGCGGAATGAAAGAGAGAAAAAATATATATATGAAGACAAATTGAAAGTTGTTACCTTTCATAGCGGTTAAAAATCATCGAACTAATTGAGAGTCAAATGTCACGGACGGACACACACACACATTTATCCAGATTTGTTGAGATGGCTAATGCAAGTTTATTTTAGTATATTTTATGCGATATCGAAAGTACCAACAACACACATATATTCGAGCAATTTTCATAACAGAGCAAATCTCTTCATCAAATCTACGATGCCAAAATGAATGGACTGACGATAATCAACGAATTGAAGAGAGAACAAAAACAGACACGACGGTTTCATTTATCATATAACAATTTGTCAAATTTGGCAAATTGGTTTTTTTTTCTCGCTTAATTTCACATTTGGATTGTGTGCGATTTCGAATTTAAAATCGCGATGCGCTGCAATATTGAAAGTAAGGCAATGCAAATTGTGAAAAGATCCAATTGCCTAAGAATGTTTTATTGATTTTTTTTTTTTATTTCTTCAAAGAAATAAGTCAGCCACAGATCATTCGGAAATGTTAAATTAATGTGGTGATTAATTTTCTCTTTACAATTCTTTTTTTAAACGATTAACGCGCGTGTGTCCTCTATTCCGCACCACTCGAATGTCATTCTTTAGACAATTATAATTGAAATGATATAAATGCTCCCAAAAACCTGAGAACAATTTTTTTTTTAATTTAAAACACACAAACACACAACTTCTTCATCATTAAATTCAAATAAAACAAAACAAACCAAAAAATCTACAAAATACGAATGTAAACAAACACAAAACAATAAAATAGGAGATGCTGTAAATCGTGAATTGCAATGCCAACACGAAGGCGGGTCGTGTGAGTTTTTTCTAACGTGTTGGATGACAAATGGATTGTTGCAAGGTACATGTGGCGGTGTTTTACGCGGTTGCTGCCATCGCATTGCCAAATCGGCAAATTCCGGTGCAAACGATATCATTGATCTCACAGATCTTCCAAATAAAGATTATGGACCGGTCACTAATGATCCTAGTGAGTGAAACGAGATTCGTTTTCCTACATATAACTAGATATACTTTTTTTATTCTTAAAAATTTAACCAATTTTTTTTTTCGTTTCGAATATATTTAGACATATATGCAATAATTTTTTATTTTTCTATTTTATAATTTTGTTTCTGGTTGTGTTTGTTTGTTTTTTTTCTCTCTCTCTTCTTTCTTTAAAAGTTTCTTATAAATCGATTTTTGCTTTGCTTTTACAAATCCAACAAAAAAAAACACAACACTTTCTACTATTTTGTCGAATTTAATCTGTTTCCTTTAATTTCATTTCAATTCAATATTTGCGTTTTATTTTTTGTTAACTTCAGATTTTATTTGTTTTTATTGCTCTCTTTTTTTCTCTCTATTGTTTTTATTGTGTGTCGGTGGCTGTGCTTGGCGTTTATTTATATTATTTTTTCCACTTTACAATATTGGTATTCCGGTCAAATGGAAATGGAACTAAGCGAGGAGTGTGTGTGTGTGTGTGTGAGAGAGAAAGATAAGGAATTCGAGAGAAAAAAATCGAACGTTAGACGAATCTAATGGGCAACGTATATAGTATAATAAGATACGTTTGAAATGCCTGCGTCCGAAACGAAACAGAAATCTCAAGTGTCCGACAATGAAAACTTTTCAAAATGATTATTGACTGATCGCGTAATGTATAAATGGAAAAAAATATAACCAAATCGATAGAAACTTGAATATGCACCGATAGATTCGATTAACATTCGGTAGACTTCAGGGTTAATGGAAAAGCACGATCGAGATTAATTTTTGTTGTTGTTGTTAAATTGTGGTTTACATGAAATGAACTTTGCATGAATGTTATCTGGTGTTTTGGTTTCGGGGATTTTTTTATTTTCCTCATACAAAAAATAACACTTAAACAAGCGAAAGCACCGATTTAATTTAAGCTTTTTTTGCACAAACACGACAAAGGAAAAAACAAAGTTGAAAATAACAGCAATTTGGTCAGATGTTATGGTTTTAATCAATTTTTTTTTACATTGGCACACACGATTTTGGGTCGCTTTTGCAATTAATTGATTTATCCGGGGGAGAATTATAAAAACAAAAAAAAATTCGTTCCCTAGTTTCGTTCATTGTTCTTAATTTTGTGCATTCGTCCGATTGTTATAAATGATTTTCCGGTGTGATGCTCCAAATTGATATCGTGCACACAAACATTACATTTCTTGTGTTTGGAATGTGCGCAAATGTTTTGTTTTGTTGTTGTTGTTGCTGAGAATGTGAAAGAGCACACGCAAACGTCTATGATAGTGATATCAATTAGCGCGGTACCACCTTTCCATTGTTCGATGTGAGTGTGCGCGCGCGCCTATTCACGATCATTTGGTTCAATCATTTTGTGAGCAAGTATTGCGTGTGTATTTTCACATTGGAAAAACATCCGTTTAAACTCTTTAAAAGCCGTTTTGTTTGAAAATGCTTGGAATGTTATGTTTCGTACATTGCACTCATCGTCAAATGCATGCTCTTATACACAAGGAAAACCACGCATGTTTTACAAAATGTTTGCAAGTGACTTGTGTGAGAGCCAACAAACGCGTTTTTTTTCTTCTTCTTTGTGTGTTATTGCGTTGCATTTTCGGCCAGTGTTTATGATACAATTTTTTGTTTTAGATTAATTTTTTGCTCTAGTAGGTAAGAAATTGCAAATCTTTAATTTGCAACAAACAAATAAATATATGATGTATTTAACCGTTAATTACGGCCGTCCCGAAAATCAAATGCACTGACACAAGCCGCGGACACGCACTCACGCTTTCGGGCTCAACAATGAAATATAACACCATTCAACAGAGAGCTTCGGTTTTTTTCTCTTCTCAACACCGAGTGCAACATAAGACTGTATGTAAAAGTAAACGAAAAAAAATATACGAATGCCTTACGAGACGCTGTAATGCGGAATTAGCATTTAGTTCAAGTGTGTGCATAATCACCGTTAAAATGCAATCACAAATCAAACACACCCGCATACAAAATAGATTCAAACTCCGCAAATACTCATGTATGCCATGGCGGAACCATAATCTTAATGTGTGAAAATGAGTGTAATTTATTTCTTCTTTTTTTCCCAACGTTTTTCGATGAAACGACATATTTCATACATGAAAATTATTTCTGAAATCCAAGCAATTTCGACAAACGACAACACACAATTTCATATTCAATCAATTTCGTTTACATGTACATTAATAAAAAATGTCGACCACCTTCATTTTTGAGCAAAACCATTTTCACATCAACACACTCCCACCGCGTGGCGCTTCTTTTTCATTCATTGATTTTAAATAGCCAATTAGATTACTGATTGTTTGCATTTGTCAATTTAGTGGTCATGCATTATTTCCGACGCACCGTTCAATTGTGTCAATCACATGTGCTTCTTTACACCAAAAGTAACGCCGTTATTTGTCACAATTCGACACACAAAACACAATAGCCATTTCAACAGGGTGAATATACGGTGCAATAAAATAAATAAAATGGTGAAAATCAGCACTTTGTTTTCAAAGAATTTTTAGAATTCAAACACACTGGTCGTTGAGCACAGCACGGCATTCGCAATCAATTTACACATTCGCAATTGAATTCGCAAATATTTTATTTTATTTTATTTAAAAAAATGCTTACACATTGAAATCTATCAATAACACATTAAATTTTATCTGTACTCGTCGCTGATATTGCTGACGAATGACGCGACGCAAAAAAATGGTGATGGTTTCGTTACTTTTTCTCGAGGCTTTTTGTTTTACTTTAGAAGACGATGTGCATCAGAAAAAGTAGAATTCAACGAATATCCACTAATCTTATAATTTGGAAGATCTGTCTATTTTAAATCTATCGAATCACTTGACTGATATGAATATATTGTGATTAATGACATACCATCTACCCTCAAATTCCCGAATTTGTACTTTTGCACATCAAATCATCCATCACACTTGATTTTACACAACAAAATAGAAAGGATTGTTCGTATTTCATTTGAAGTGTCGATTTTTCACATTATTTTTGACAAAAACACACAATTTAGATTATATTTTGAACAAATAAATATCGATGAAGTGAGATTTAACAATTAATTACACCCTAACGAGTACCATCAGCCTGTTGATTAAAAAAAAATGAAAAAAGTTGTCAACTCAGAAGAAAGCAGCCTTAAAAGAACGCAGAGAAAACTTAACAAAATTATAATATAAAATGTGACACAATGTCATCAAGGCACTAAAAGATGTCTTTTTTTTCTTCAATTGAAGTCCAAGTGAATCGCCATTTGCAGATCATTGATCTTTTCCTTGGCTAGAAACGTTATCGTTTCACTTTTCATCAAAATGTTTCAAAATATCCATGAAACGAAAAATATAAATGTAATTAGCACATTGTCGATAATATATGGTTGAGTTCTTTGATGATTGAATAGCTAAATGTAAATGCCACTTTAAATAAAAACAAAAAAAAATTGAAACACGTGAATTTAATATTTGATTAAATTCAATTTATTTGATAAATTTTTTTCTTCTTTTTGGGAGAATAAATTAAAATGTGACAAATGTATAGACTTTGAACTGAACAAGACAATTTTGGATTAAATTAACAACAAATCTTATTCGAACACAAACCAAAGTTTAAATTGATCGACAGACATTCCATTCAAACAAAAGCATTATTACAAAAAAAACACTCACACACACACACATACTTGAAACTTATTATTAACATTTCGGACGCTCATCTCCAACGAACATGGAAAATTTGAAAAAAAAAAAAAACAATGACCTAAACGAACAAAACGCGCGCACACGAAAACCTCTTACAATCAATTAGATTAAAAATGACAGCAAAATAACAAAAACAAGAGTTTTTATTTCAAATGCAACCAAATTTCCTATTAGCACGTTTAAACTTAACACGGCATGCACTTAAAATATACATTATTTTTTTTTATTATTATTTTCATTATTATCAACTAATTAAAACAAAAACAAAAATCGTTTCCATCAATAATCGATGATTATAAATGAAAAAGAAATCTAATCAATGGCAACAATTTTTTCTCTTTGTATTTAATTGAATTTCGTTGATGACATTTAATTAGGTTGTGGCATATCATTGGCAAAGCAAACAGCACAACGGCGAATTGTTGGCGGCGATGATGCCGGTTTTGGTTCGTTCCCATGGCAAGCTTATATACGCATCGGTTCATCCAGGTACATTTCGATTGAAATCACAATTTTACATTTTTCGATTGATATATTTTCTCAAATCGCCGATTGTAACATAATTCGGATCATATTGGACAAAACGGTTTTGTTCGTTTTGAACAAGAAAAAAAAACATACATTTCATTACATATACAAACTATCATTTATACCATATTGTACATTTTTACATGTAAAAACGATTACCCAACATTTAACACCCAAACATGATAACATTATCAATGAGATTTTTTTGTCATGCACATACACACCAATACATACACACAACCACACCAATTTTACATTACCAGACAGATACAATACAATTTTAAACCAACACACATACAAACTTTATGGTAAACATACCGAGATAAAAAAAACGCATTGAGTAATCGATAGACCACTCTCGATATTTTATATATATATATATACATATTTATTAGAACAGTTTTTGTTTGTTTGTTTGTTTGCAAATGTAGAAAAAGAGAGAGAAATTTCGCATTCACATCGCAATATTATTTCTTTCAAATCATCTTCGGATGTGATTCATTCACAATGCTTTCAGCTAGCCGTAACATATGTATTTATTTTTGGGGTTCATTGGTTCACACATCTGTTCACAGTGCATTTGTTTTAGTTCCAAATGTTACTTCTAAATAAAATCATCTTTTGTTGAACTTTTTTGGTTTGAAACTTTCACATTAGGATTGAGTTAATTGGTTTCACCATCCGTTTTTTTAAATCTAGAAATAGATGTATTAGTTGAGCTTGATGCAACAGTTCATGAGTATAAAAAAATACACGACTCGAAATGGAATCGATTTCACCGATTACGTCGATTCGTTTGCAAGTCGAGTTTATGTGGTAGTTAGTAGTATTTTAGCGTAGAATATCATTGAATTGGGATATCATTTTTTTTTCGAAATGTCATTTATGATTCAAAATCTCATTTATTTTATCCATTAAGAAATTGTATGCCAATTTATTATAACAAAAGATCAAATGCATTCGATTATATTGTAACATTAGCTTTCATTTTATTTTTGGTTTAAACATGAATGTCATCCATCTTCATTAGATTGATTTGGTAATCTATCATCAAATATTCGTTGTTCACCATTTCTGGTCAGTAGAAATGTGTCAAGCTCAGTAGTATTTTAGTCTTTGGAATTTTTTCTTTAATTAAAATTGTATGAATCAAAATTTTATTCAAAAATTTGGATTTTTTCTTGCCAAACCGATTTGTCTTTCTTTAAAAAAAAATGTCTCAATTATATTTTAGTAAGAAAAAGCATTAATTGAACGTTTCGTTTACTTTTGCAGCCAGAGTTAAATAGCCAGACGATTTATCGAACCAAATGAATTATACATTTATTTTCCTTAAATATTTTCACTCATATTCAATTCTTCGCAAATCTTCTGATCACAAACAAAAATGAATTTCCAATGCAATTCAATATTCACAATGATCTCAGTTAAACTATGTGACACCATTTCTAAGTGCAATCATCAACTTATTAGATATAATTGTGGTTTATATCTTCGAATTGAAAACACGAAAAAATCATAATTCTCGAAAAAAGAAACTCAAATACATAAAACAAACACAAATATCAAATATATCCGAATTTTTTTTGTTGCTCTAAAAATTCCCGAATGGGAAACACATAACGAAAATGGGTTCTGAGCAAAGTTTGTAAAAAAAATATGATTCTTTGCTTCCTTAATTTTCTTTGTATTCATACATAACTTCTATATGCAATATACCACGTTTTGCACTTATGCTTTGTTCTCAGCACTCATTTTCGATGATTGGTTTGTATAAAAAAAACGAACATTTTGAAAAAGAAAAAATCAAATTTTAAAATGCATTCAACTCAATTTTATTAGTTAATTATTTCTCATTCATTTTTCACGCTGTCATCAAAAACTAACACGCATCTTCCCATTTCTCTCTCTCTTTTGTGACCTTCGTGTGGATAAAAAAAAAATTGTGTATGGCAATATATAAATATATTGTGGTTTGGTTGTGTTGGTGGTTGTGCGATACAAAAACGCTCAGATCTTTGCTTTCCAGATGTGGGGGTAGTTTGATATCACGACGTCATGTCGTAACGGCTGGTCATTGTGTGGCACGGGCAACGCCGCGTCAAGTGCATGTTACACTTGGTGATTATGTGATTAATTCGGCGGTTGAACCGTTGCCAGCATACACATTCGGCGTACGAAAAATCGACGTGCATCCATACTTTAAATTTACACCACAAGCTGATCGATTTGATGTGTCCGTTTTAACGCTTGAACGACCCGTTCACTTAATGCCACATATTGGTAAGTCATCACGGTGGCTATTGTTTTTTTATTCCTCATTTTCTCTTTCACTGAAGCCTACAACTTCAACATACATACATATTCGGATGGAATTGTGATGTTGGAGCATTTTCATAAACAATTATTTTCTCTTTTTATCTGTGCAGCTCCGATTTGTTTACCAGAGAAAAATGAAGACTTCTTAGGCAAATTTGGATGGGCAGCTGGATGGGGCGCATTGAATCCAGGATCGCGTCTCAGACCAAAAACATTGCAAGCTGTCGATGTACCAGTTATTGAAAATCGGTAAATTCAATTTTTATTCACTAACCCAAACACTTGAATGTGATCTTTTTTTAATTTAAATTAATTTCGAATAGAATTTGTGAAAGATGGCATCGATCGAATGGCATCAATGTTGTTATTTATCCGGAAATGTTATGTGCCGGCTATCGTGGTGGTATGTTAACTGTTCATCATAAATTATCTTTATTATTATGGCTGAGTATAATGGAAAATGTTTGTGTTTATATAGGTGGCAAAGATTCTTGCCAGGGAGATTCGGGTGGACCATTGATGCACGAGAAAAATGGGCGCTGGTACTTAATCGGTAACTATCCAAATCATTTTTAGTGATTCCTTTTGAAAATAAAAATGTATGTTATTTTTTTTTTCTTAAATAAAGGTGTTGTGTCAGCTGGTTATTCGTGCGCATCACGTGGTCAACCTGGAATCTACCATCGAGTACCGTATACAGTGGATTGGATTTCATATGTTAGCAATTTGAACAAATAATCCACATTGCTGAAAATGTTCGAATGAAACAAAATCCAAATGGGCTAAAATCACAAGAAAATTTGCTTTAATCGATCTATGGATATGGATTTTATGACAAAAATTACAACCCATAATACGACAAGCCAATAAAAGAGAATCATCTCTCAATGCAAAAAAATTGATTAAAAATGTCTCTCCGCTTCTAAATTGCTTTTACGCAACTTATTTTTATCGGAATAATTTCTCTAGTTTTCTTTTTAAATTGCTCTCGACTCTATTTTTCGTTTTTTATTATTTTACTTAAATTATTGAAATACCTTTTAGAATTGTTTCAATTTTAATTCTTGTCCTTCGATTCAGTTTAAATTGAACAAAAAAAAAAATATAAAGAATTATATATCTCTTAACATTTAATTTATTAAAAAAAAAAACAAATATAATTTATGAAAAGAAAACAGAGCGTCTTCAGAGATGTTTCACGGTACCAGCTAAGAATATTCCATATAGTGTAGTCTTCTTATTGAACATATTATTCGATTATATTGACTATAATTTTTATTTTTCGAGTGAGAAACACCGAGAGAAACGATGAAATGGTAGATTTTTTTTAAATATAAGAGACTGACAGACCACCTGCAAATTTCGAATCATTGGATTGAACATTGAATGTTAAATACTTCGAATCATTGATTTTTGTTTTCCTATTTTTATAGCCACTGCGGCCATAGGCGTTTTTTCAATTATCATGGCCGCGGCTCAAATACAGGAAACCAATTGTATTCGCTCAATACAAAGGGAATCAATTGAAAACATTTTTCATTAGTTCAGAATCCAAATTGTTCGTTCTCAATACCGATTTGATGCGTTCGAATGTTTGCCAATGATCGAAAAAAAGAATACATTTCTGACAAAAATGACGAGAAAAAAGTGGAATGACGAGAATCTCAATGAAATATTCAAAATTCCCTGTCAAATTCTTCAATTGTTTTCCTCAAATTGAGGAATTTTGACAACACACGAAAACAGTAAAATCGAAAAAAAATATTTCGTTTTTTTAAGTTTTAAACAATTTTCATTACGAGACAAAAAAACAATTGTAGTGCTGTTCTATAAGCAAGTTTTTGAAATTCCATGGATGTGGACAGTGAAATACGTTGAAAATATATAACGAATGTTAATTAATAGTAATTAAGATGATGATGATCCTTTTTTTATTATAAAATATTGATGCCAGCACGAAAAAAAGAGCATAATTTTGATTTAGTGTTTTGTGATGATCAATAAATGTGGATTTATACATTTTAAAAAAACAAACGAAATGATGAAAGCAACGCTAAGCCAACAAAATATGTAAATAACCTTCTTAAGTGAAATATCACATAAATCATTTCGAGAAGATTCGAATTGTGAACATTAAATGGAGTCATATTTGAATGGACCAGTGAATAATTCCAGCTACAATAATAAATTGAGGAAGAAGAGGAAAAAGAAAATAAGTCAAACAGAAATTGTGAGGCATTTTCGTAAATTTGCGCGCATACAAAGCCAACGAATTATTTGTTGACAAATCGAAGCAAACGAATGCAACTAGAGAAATCAAATTTTACAGCAATAACAATTGAAATCATAATAAACAATAGCAAAAATGTGTATTGTAACATATAATTTCGTAATTTGTAATTTGACGGTTTGAGGAAGAGAGCGGAGAGCTTATGCTTAAAATGTATATAATGTTAGTATGGTGAGAACGAGATAGACACGAATTGACTTAATTAAGATTTATAAATGAAATGTGGAATTTTAGCTATTTTATATTATTTAAAATGTGTATGTTTTATTTTAAAATCGGAAAATAATATTATTGAATTGTAATTTTTAATTCTCTAAAACACACAAATAAACGTGAGAAATTGAATTTTAAACAACAACCAAATATGATCAAACTTGATACAATATTTTCAGAAATCACAACTTCTCAGAATCATTAAGTCTTTATTGCAGAGATGGAAGCTGACAATAGATCGAAGGGAATTTTGGAAAATTCTTTTAATTTGCTAGAGTTTTTGTCATCCATTTTGGGGAAAAACTCCTTTCCTGGATTGTAAAGAGAGAACTTCCTTCCCTTTTTTAGTATATTTTATGGGATATTCAAAGTATTTTTGACCTTGCTCACGTTCTACAATTCTGAAAATGCTATTTTTCTACTTTTTAAATCGTGATTGTGATCATGTGTTGATTAATACAATTCAACTTTTAGATCATCTGTCCCAAAATTTGTTGAAAATTTAAGTTGATATTCAGTGGAGGATAACATCGCTTTCAAACAACAGTGGACAAAAATTTTATAAGCGCGGAACAAGAGGCAACAGGTTATATTTTTTGTTTCCATCGGAAAATTCAGCCAAAAATGGCATTTGCTACATTTAATTCTATGCCTGTTCTAATGTAGTATTGAAAGATGAAAAGATTTTCGCTAAATCTTTATGTTCACAGTTTATTCATGTACGAAAAAAAGTCATTTTGAGTGCCCATCTGGATAGTTGTATTTTTTTCTTATTTATTGCTTGTGGTATGCTTATGATTCGTGTGTGGTATATTGGCATGACAATAAATTTTTGCCTTATTTCTGTCATCAATTTACTCGTTTTGCTTGCAAGCAAGATTTGTGTAGAAAGTGAATTCAAGTTGCTTTTTCTTCTCCTACTTCATCATTTTCATCAGTGTAATACAAAATTAACTTCAATTAGAAAGTCATTTGATGTGTGTGTGTGTGTGATCTAAAAGTATAATTTACTATATAGAGTCGATGGATCGATTGATCGTCTATCTCGCTTCTATTTGAACAACCGAGAGAATTTATTGTGCTGTGGCATTTGATGCAGTGTGTCGAATGCGCATTTGCACCAAAAGCCAAATTGAGCTTCTCTTATCCGCTTCAAATTTTCAATATACGAAAAACAATATGCAGCATTTGTGCGATACAATGTCTTGCATGAAAGAAGAAGAAGAAAAAGAAGAAGAAGAAAACAACAACTTGAAATACGACGCGTACAAATCGATGTAATTTTATGTTGATTGTTTCTTTATCGGGGTTGACGTATTGTTATTGCAAGCAAGCAGAAACATCGTTCGTTATTTTGTTTATTTGAAAACTCAATCGATTCCAATACAAGCACATTTGGATTTGAATGCATGTCGACAACGGAGATTAACAAAAGAAAAAATTACAAAGCAACCGTTGATTTATTAATTGGTTATATCGCATTTGTTCGCTCTCTTGGTTTTTCCAGCTCTTGCTTGGTCGACATCAACAGCCGCCATCAATATCAATGCACATTTGCGGTTTTTATTAGATCGTTTAGTTGCATTGATTCCCATTTCTTTTTGTTTTTATTCACGTGAAATGACCGAATGTATATCACTTCCCAATTACAATCTCTGGTCGATCTAATAAAATGCAATAAGACAAGTCGTAAACAAGTGTGAGTATTGCATCTTGCATACATTGAAATTGACCTTGAATGGATTCTTTCGTCTCTGTATTGAAATAGAAAGCGAAAACAAATCGATAGACTTTTATTTATTGATTAAATTTATGTTATTTCCCAATTTTTTATTAAAAACATTAATAAGTTTATAATAATATAGTTTATTCATCGAGTGATGCTGTTCATGCGTCATGATGGATTTTTGTCATCGATTTTTCAAATTTCCTACAGGAAATTTCACCTTATTTTTCGTGCTGTAGTTTTTCGTATCTTTCGTTGAATTTTATTGGCCGTAATTCTGATTCTAAATGAAGTGCAAAATTACATTTTGCTCTCGCAATTAAATGTTCAACAAAAGTGCTGAATCAAATCGCTTTTTTTACTCTCCACCTCAATTCATTAAAATCGGGAAAAAAAGTAATTGTCCAATCAAGAAGAAATACAGCAATAATAAATTCACGGCGGCACCATCACATTGCCGTCTAGAAGTCGGAGAAAACGATTATGTTTTCACCGTGTTGACACACGTCATGATTCATTGTAAATTACTTCCTGTTCGATTAATTTTTTTTCTTCTTTTTGTTTCATCTTTGTGTGTGTGTGTCTCATTTGCAATATATATGCATTCATTTCAATTTCCAATTTTTAAATCATCAATTCCATTCCGACTACATACACTCATCAGCCATACCGAATCATAACACTATAAAGAGAGCTTCGACCGAAAAAAAATTGCATAAAATTATAATAATATAATGACATATTGATTGATTTGAGCGAATGTTTTGCTTTCGGCTTTCCAAGTTGTTCCATTTTTCGCAGCCTTACCATTCATACACAAGAAACATAAATTGATCGTTTTCATGAGCAGCAAGGTGAAGGTCGTTTACAAAACCACAACACTCTGCTGATATATACTCCATGAAAATCAACATGCTATGGAAGCTGTAGATATATTGATGCAGTGTGCGCAATTAATTTCGAAAACACTAATTTAAAGAGTTGAAAGTTTTCCATTTCCTTTCGTGTATTTGTGTGTATGTAAACGTGAATATGCTTTAGTTTTTTTTTTTCATCACGGTGAATTTTTAATTTTTCTTTTTTTCTGTTAATTTATGTCTTCTGTTTCGAAATGATTTTATTATTTATTTGAACAAGTTTGATAAGATCACAATTCGATTTGAGCCCATAAAATTAAGTCGTAATGATTATAAATTTAAAAAAAAAATCTGCATGCAAAATTAAAAACAAATCGACATTTGTTTTTATTGCACTGAAATAAAATTGGATTAGAATTTGAATTTGAATTCGGGGCAAGAACCTCTCCAAAGTTTAAAGCCACCACAAAATCATGTCGATGCCGTCTGGGAATGTAAAATGAATATTATAATATTTTGTTTGTGTAACGTTTCAAAATGAGTAAAAAGAAAAGAAATTAAGAAAGTGGAATGGACCCGAATGGCGCCAATTTTCTGTGCGATCTTATTTATAGATTTCATTGAAGTTGCGTATTTTATTGCTTTACTGCCCATGTCATTTCATTTCGGTGCAGCTGGAATGAACTGAATATTCTTTGCTCAAAGATGAGAAAAAAGAACCATTAACACTTTTACAATCGACTGTCAAATTTGGTGCCTCGCCAAGATTATGCGAACGACTGTAACGAATATGTTTTACCGTTGAATTGAGTAAAATGTTGAAGTTAAGTGCTGATGAGCATTGTGAAATTGAGAGCAAATTGTCGTATATAATCTCAATTTGTTCAGTTGATGTATTAGATGTTCGCCCATTTCAGCCATTCTTTCAACGAATCCACGATGTAATTTTGAAGGAAAAAGTCAAGAACAAATTAGATCAGACAATTCGAAACGGTGGGAAAAAATAGAGATATACATTGGTGTTTACTTGAATACAGCGGATCGGATAATAGAAAGAAAATTTATTGCGCACATTTTGTTGAAGTGATTTTCATAATTGCATTTCAACAAGCGTCCATCGCTTTAATTATACACTGCACTGCTATCAAATGTAATTAGGTATGTGCTTTTTCTTCTCTTTATCAGCAATCGGACATTGTACCTATTAGAAAATCACTTTTGGTTTCTGAACAAGCCATCACTTATTTTTCACTCATTCTCCGAAAGCAAAATTTCTATTTTAATGCAACACAACAAAGAAAAAAAAAACAGCCTTAACGCTCACAAAGCGCATCACATGCATGTATTTTGTAAAGTGTTACTACCAAGAGAAAGAGACGAGAGCTGAAACATATAAATATATAGCATGTTCGGCAATCGTTCACCGTTTGATAACGAATCTCAAGTGTAGTATGATTTGCAGTTTCTTTTGCTTTCAAAGTAAGTTTCCAAATTTTTACAGAGTAGAAAGAAAAACCAGAACACTCAATGGTCACTCGGATAAAGCGGTCGATCACGGCAATATCAATAAGCAACAACCTTGACTTACTCACTGCTTCTTTTACACTGTTCTTTAAAGCATTCATTCCAAAATTCTTTTTGCATGCAGCATGAAAAAGTGCAAACCAAAATTTCCAACCAAAAAGACGTCCGGATCCAAAAAAAGGCTGTCCGTCCGAAGAAGTAAAAGTAATCGCAAATTTTTTCGAACAATGGGTATAAAAATCTTGGTCAGCCTTTTCCGAAAAACCATGTCCGTTTGCGACCTTTCCTCGTGGTCTTTTAGGCCCAAACCTTGAGGAAGGCTCAAATTAAATTGATTGCCTCCTTTTGAATTATAATCGTTTAATGAATACAAAAATCAAATGAGATCCCTTCTACATCAAAATTATGGTTTGTTTTAAAAAGTTCTCACTATCTCAAAAAACTGAAATAAAAAAATGAAGAAAAAACACAAACCAAGTTTTCATGAACAGTGTAATAATTTCACAAACAGTTATTCGATTCATTCAGTATACACGAGGCATATTTTGAATTTGCCATCATTTTCTTCGTCTTCATTTTTTTTCTTTCTCTTCGTTCTCTTACCAAACACACAATCATTGTAGAACCCGCTTTGAGTCGATGTGTATTCCATTACGTTTGTGTGCTGTTATTGCTAGTTTATCGGATTAAATGCTATGATGCCGCCGTACGTGTGTGAGTGTTTGTTTATGATTTTTTGTTCTCTCTCTCTCTCTCCCACTTTTGTTTCGCCGTCTTTGATTATGCTGTTTACGCTGGAGTTATTATTGTTGTTGTCGATTGTAGCCGCCGTTACATCTGCATGAAATCTCTTTCTCTTCTTTGCTGTGCAAAGAAAGCACCATATCTTCCAATCATATTCGTGTTCGCTTTTATTTTATTCACTGTGAAAACTTAAAGAGACAGAGAGTCTTTTACTTCTGTAAATAATTTTGCTCGCGTTGAATTGTGGTGATCAATCAGTTGCTATTGAAAAATCATAGGGTTTGGACTCGTGATGCTGTTTTGGGTCTGAAACAAATCCGATATTCTCGTTTAAAAAAGCATCGATACAAGAGTGTGTGTGTGTATTTTTTTGGCGCAATTTGGATAGTTGAATAGTTTTTGGTGACATTGATGCCTTTTCGGTGGTAAAACATTGAAAATCATTAAATTTGTGAAGGTGATTATGTGTGTGATAAAAATTTAAAAAAAAAAAAAAAAAAATTCATCGCTTAAATTGTGCGTAGGTGTATTGATGAGTTGTAAGTTCTTTAGAAAATTGACTCTGAAAAATTAAATTAAATGAAAAAAATAATGTTTATGTTGAGAAAATTACATACATTATTCACACTAAACGTTGATCCATAAAAAGCTAAAGTGAAATTGCGAACAAAATACTTGTTGAAGATGAAATGAAAACGCTGTGTGTATGATTTCTGTGTTTTTCTTTCTATTTCAAAATGAATCTATTGCGACAATTTCAATAAAATTTCAAATTGCATTGAATGAAACATGTTTTAAATACAAAAGCATCATGTGAATTAGATCGAATGAAGAAATGGTCGATTTTTTATGAGTTTCACGACCAAAATGCGTGCAACACGTTGAATGCCATTTGATGTTTATTATATTTCTTTGGCAGTGATGCGGTGTAATTATTTTATTTTATTTTCGTTGATTCTGTTCGTATGTGTGTGATTTCGAACGTGTAAATTCCCAATGAGATTGTGAACGATTGTTTATGCATTTCACCGGTCTGGAAAAAAACACACACGATGCAATGTCACAATTGATAGAGAAAAAACACATGAAACTGCTTCTATGAGCGTCTTACAATGATTTTCACATTTTACAAATGATGGAGATATTATAGAGAAAAAGAGAGAGATTGTTGCATGCGTATGCAATACATGTAGAATGTTTAAAATGAAAGCGTGCAGAGAGTATCATTTTAATATAAAATAGAAAGAGAAAAAGATGTTAAATCGAAAAATAAGAGCATTTTGATTCACATTTATGAAATGACATGAAACATCATCATCATCATCCTTACCCGGAAGTTTTTTCTCTTCATTTCTCGTTTGTTAAAGATTTTCCACAATTTGATTTTGCATTATTGACCTACCGCTATAGAAAGTAGACGTATACAATATCAAAACGGTGGAAAAGAACTTTTTTTCTATGGTCTGAATAGCGTAAACATCATAACACACTTCAAATAATAGCTGGCATGATAGACCAATTCCAATTTGATACCATTTATCTGAATGCAATCATTCGTTTGTTTTTACCATTTTCAATGTACCCGCGTTGTGTATATACTTTGTTGCGATGAAATGAAAACTTTTGGCCGCGGCAAAGAAATATTGACAAAACACATAGCAGAAAGCACAACTTGAATGGATTTCTATCAATAAAAGCTTCGTAAACCTATCAACAGCTATGAGCTTGCGATGTTTTAATTTCGCACTGAAAAGCATAAGGTGTTGAACAATTGATTTTGATGATAACATTGAACTCTATGGCACTTGTGAATCCATGGCATATTTTTTTTACCTCGAATCAAAACGTTTTTCTTCCAGTTAAAATTCAATTAATTAAACGGTACATCGGTTTTATTTTTGTTCATCACATTTTGAACACCGAATCGGTTACAAATAAAACAAAACAAATTGAAAAAAAGAGGAAGAGAATTGAGCTGTACCGCTAAAAGCATCTCGTGCCAATTTAGAATGACTGCGACGCAACGGTTTCTTTCTGTATATTTTTTGTTCTCTTTGTGTGTATTATAGTGTCCGAAAGAGGCACATGTGCGCGCCCGCAAAGTGTTGTTGGTCATTAAAATAAATATAGCGTTTATGAATAGTAATAATCTAACAAAATGAATAGACTATCCGAAGAAGAACCGGCTTTTCCTCGTGCATTTATTGTTTTCGTTACATTCTGCCCTACAAAAGAAAGAGAATAAAACACCTCACACCAGTCGGATGACATAATTTTTCTCCTCTTCTATCTCTTGCTCTTGCTGTGCGCTATCTCTGGCCATTAATGCTATTTTCTTCAAAATAATCTGATAATCTTATCTTGTTCTTTCTATGTGCGACCATTACACGCATTCCAGTATATATTCTAATTTACAAGCGCAACCTACAAAAAAAAAGATCACACATCTTTTGCATCGAAATTAGAACAAATTACCGTAGAATTTTCACTAAAACAACAACATTTTTGTTCGCTGTGGCTTACATTCTCTTGCATATTATTATCTCGTCGTTAAAATGAATATGATTAACGGTTAATTTCACTGAAATTATGAAATCAGCATTTTTTTTATCTTTCGTTGTTTTAGATCTTTTTTTTCGTATTTAAATTGGTTTTTTTTATTTCATGAATTGATATTCAATTGCATTGTAGATCGATTTCTCTGCAAAGATTGTGAACGAAAAAAATACGTGCATACGTAAAACGCGCTCAACCATCTGAGTCTGGCCAGCCACTGATTAATGATAACAGACGCTCAACGGCAGCGGCAGCAACAGCACCATCAACGTATGGATTTGGATTGGAAAACACGAAAAAGGCATTATTGTTAATGGATGTGAGCTGCACACAATTGCACACATGCTAAATGATGCTGACATGGCTTTTCAATCCAATTTCAATATTCATTCTTATCGCATCATCATGCGCGATTTGGTTGCCATTCTCTGAAGCAAGTAAGTGAAATTATAAACAGACACACACTCACACATTCATTCATAACATCGAAGTGATTCAATCACGCATCACATAGATTCACGCATATTTCCCAACCTGGTACAAGCGTTTTGCATTTTCCATTGCCAATGGAAAAAATGCACATTTTCATGTTTGCATACATTAAAATCAAATACTTTTTTCCATTTATAGATATTTTGCATTCGGTGCTTGGATTGCCCAGCGAATGTACACACAACAATGTGATTCGATCGTGTACATTGTCGTTTTCATGTTGGATTCAAGGTGGCCGCCATGCTGAAGGTTGTGGTGAAAATAAATGGCTTTTTTCATGCTGCATTTCCGAAAATGAAATGGAATTTAGCTCAGCGATTGGCATGAAAGCACCAATCAAATCAAATTACTTTGAAAATGAGTTGCCAACACGTTTTAATATGGCTAAAATAAAAACACAAATAATGCCTACATCAAATTTTAAACATAACATGCTGCGACGACGCATGGATGATGATGGAATGGTAATTGTTTGATTTCTTCTTCTTTTTTTCTGTCAAAACGGAACATGAATTCTGTGTATCTGTTGTCATTTCAGAATCAATTCGAATGTGGTGTCCCAAGAACAGCTCAAAATACAATTCAAAAGCGTATCATTGGGGGTCGAGTCGCCGGATTTGCTGCTCTTCCATGGCAAGCGCATATTCGCATTGCTGAGTATCAGTGCGGAGGTGTTTTAGGTATGATGTTGTTTTTTGTCATTCAAATAAAGCTTAAAAAAATATTTAGAAATTCATACGAAATTAACGATGATTTGAACGAGAAATTCAATCGTATTTCTTCTTTAATGTCATTTTTTTTCGAATATTTCTTCAAAGTTTTCAATTTTCAAACTATTTTATGGTAACGTTGGGCCACTTTCTTTGCTATTTAACCAAAAGAGTTTAACGATTTTGCTACATTTAAATTGGATCATAAAATTTCAAATGCGAGAGAGAAAATGTAACAACTTTTGACCCGAATAAATTTTTTTTATTATGGTTTTAGTATCGCGGCATTTCGTTATTACCGCAGCACATTGCATCGAACAAGCTCGAATGAAAGATATTATTGTCTATTTGGGTGAACTGGATACACAAGATTCGGGTAAAGTGCACGAACCAATGCCAGCTGAAAAGCACTACGTCAATCGAAAAATTATTCATCCCAATTTTAAATTTCGTATAGCGCAACCAGGTAAAGTAACGTTAAATCAAAAAGCGAAAGCAACGAAAAAAATATTCAGACACTCAAATAAATTGTTTTTTTTTTTTTTTTTTTTAAATTTATCAATTAGATCGCTATGATTTGGCATTGTTACAGTTAGCAATTCCGACATTTTTCACGTAAGTTGTTTTTGATTTCTTCAGAGATTTTTTATCGATGAAATTTATAAATTTTTCGTTTAAAAATGTGTAACATAAAAAAGAATAATTGGCATTAAGACAATATGAATATTCAATCGAACTTTTGTAGAAATCACATCTTACCAATTTGTTTACCGACAACAAATATTGATCTCACTGGACGACATGGGGTTATAGCAGGATGGGGTAAAACGTCATCAGATTTATCATCGGGACACACTGGAACAGGAATCCTACAAACGGCTTCCGTGCCAATAATAAGTAATGTCAAATTTCAAATGTTTTTTTTTTATTTTATTTTTTTAAGTTATTTTTATTTTGTCTAGGTGCAACGGAATGTATCAAATGGCATAAGAAGAAGAATATCTTTGTTGAATTGTACGAGGAGATGTTTTGTGCTGGTTATTCTGATGGGAAGCAAGATGCTTGTTTAGGTGGGTTTTCGTTTAAAATTATGTTCAGTAAATGCATGTATTCTGGAATGGAATTTTCATCCATTGAAATAATAAAAATGTATTTAAATATGCTTAGGTGACAGCGGAGGAGGATTGTATCTATTCGAAAATGGAAAATTCACTTTGGTCGGTATTACAAGTGCCGGATTTGGATGCGGCGTTGATCATCAACCAGGCATTTATCACAATGTTCAAATGACCACCAAATGGATTCAAAACGTTTTAAATCGATATTATTGAATTCATTGTCAAATAACCCTTCACATTATATTTAACAACCATAAATACGTTTCCTCCATTTTTGTTATTTATTTTTTCTTGATAACCCTCTGATTTTTCATCCATTAGTAATTAGGTGTTGTATATTAAAACAAAATATTTATTTATATATATATATTTTTTTTAATTTTAAAATGAATTGAATAAAACAACATTATTTTGTGTTTGAGATTTTTATTTGAATTTGTTTCATACAAAGTAGATACAAAAATATCTTTTTTACTTTTTCTCTTTTCGCACCTATTCGATAAAGATGATGTATAAAAAGCCAACAAATTATTCAAAAAAGGTTCGACGACAACATTGAATTTTGTATCTTGCAGTCAAATCAAATAATATTGATTCAGTCAATTTGTAAGCCGTTTAAAATTAGAACCTTCAATTAGCTGCGGAGTGTAAATTATATGGTCTATAGGAAACATGTGTTCCGATGTCTCGGCAATGAGTCAATCAGATATTATGAATCGAATCGTTGAAGTGAAGAGTGAATTTTTGAAATGTCGGTAGATGTATAAAAAACGAAATTTTAAACCAAAGAAATGGATTGAATCAATTTTTCTTGTTGTTTTCTCTCGAATTTTTCAAACTTGTTTAAAAATTATCAAAGTTTATATCATATAGAAATGAGATGCTCTGTAAAAAATCACATTTCAAAAGATCTCAAAATCAACAGAATCATTCTAATTGGTTGTTCTTATGTGAATATAAATTTGTTGTCAAGAAGTGATTTCATCATTTGATCATCAACAACGAAAGCGTTTGTTTTAATCTAAAAATGTCTCAAGTAATATATATACGTATCACTTACCTATGGTCGAGTATAACATTTCATTAATAATTGTTGTTTGTTTGAATTTTCTTATAGTTTGCGAAGATTTTTTCAATTTTTATTATTATGATCGTCTGGACTATGGCAGCTCCTCAACCACACGGTGGACGTAATTATCGAGGAAAACTTTCAATTAAAATTTCAGTGAAATGATGTGATACTTTGCAACATTTATAGATGGTGGGGGATTTGGAGGACATGGAGGCTTTGGGCATGGAGGCTTTGGGCACGGAGGCTTTGGACATGGAGGTGGTTTTCGTGGTTATGGAGGTGGATTTCATAGAGGTGGTTTTGGTGGCGGATTTGGATTCTACGGAGGATTTTATCGTCGACCATTTTATAGTGGGTTTTCTTCGATCTTCCCATTTGGATATCCTTTTCCATATCCATATTATCCGTATTATGGTTAGTGCATTGTGTCATTTTTTTTAAATTGATTTCAAATTGAGGTTCTCAATTTTAATTTATTTCTTCAAGGCTATTATTATTAATGTGCAGCAACGATTGAGCTTGCTTATATTCAATATATTTTGTCCGGTAAATGTATAATAATAAGTCACCGATAAAACTTAAGTCATAATGAGCAGTGTTGGCCGGGAAAAGGTTCAATCAAAAGGATTCAAAAAACATATACATTCAAATTGATAGACAAATGATCTTGGAAGACCTAAAAACCATCACATATTCCCAGAGAAGAATTACTCCTCTACTCCTTTAGGAAAATAATTGAAATTACTCTTCCTTGGCCGACTACAAAAGCTATAGAAATACTCCTTCTAATTTCTCAGACGAGCAATGCCCGAAACTGTTTAATAATATAAATTTATATTAATATTCTAAATTAAAATTATAAAAAAAAAACATTTAATTTCTTTTATTTATAATATTGAAAGAAGGATGTCAATTTTTCATATAACGAGTGAGTCAGCTGCATTTCGAACATTTCGTTCATACGAATATTCTAATGGTTTCATATCGATTTACTATTATTGACGATTTCATAGTATTCGTTTTATTTTATTCATATTATAATAAGGTTTTAATCAGAAAGAATTGTTAGGTTTTCACAGTACTTGTATGTCTACGTTGTCTCTCGTACGCAATTTTTTTTTTACCACGAAACCTAATTCCGTTTCCTAGAAACGTGAATCAAAAACTACTTATCTAACTTTACTGGATGATTAGGATGTTGCAAGGAATAAAAATCATTAGTTTTTTTTTGACGATATCTGATGACCGGTGTAAAACTTGGACCTTGAAAAGATACATATGTGAAAAATGTCAATTTTCTTCATTGAGTTAGTTTGAATAAATTTCGACAAACTACTACATACAAGAAATAAACCTGATAAATCATTTTGGGATTCCTATTAAAATATTAATTTGTAAGGTTTCCTTATAATATGAGAACATTTTATCAGGAAACTTTTGGTTTCAACACAGTGAAGTTGGATTTGACGTTTGGGCGCGTCAATTTATTGGGATTCCTGTTAAAATATTGCGATTTTATAGGAAACCTAACAAAATCATTTTTTCAATAGGAATCCTAAAATAATTTGTTGGGTTTATCTCTTGTGTGAGATTAGTATACTAAATTTGGATTTTCGAAAGTATTTCAACTACAACCTGAATGCATTTTGATTCGTTCTTACAAAACATTCATCAGCAATCAACAGGCTATGTGTTCGTACTGATTTAAGCGGGCACCGATATTTCAAGCGGGATAGCTATGCTCTTCATATATCCAAGATATGTGACGAGACGTATGTCGCAAACACACAGCCGACAAAAAAGTAAAAAAGCTATGTCCATCGAGTTTCCATTGTCAATGATTACCGCGATCTCGTTCTTTCTTATGTAAAGCATCAAGTGTTCGATTATCGTCAACTCTTAAAAGGTGTGACGTTATCACTTTTAGCGTTTAAATAACCTCTTTCAATAGCATGTGTTGCGATCACTTATTTCCTCTCGAATTATACCCAGATCTGAGTTCAAAAGATTCGCAAATTATTCTGAGTAATTTAAGCCAAGAACTTATTAATTCAATCAACAAACTGTCTTAACATCTAAAGAAAATCATGTCTCCAATTAAATCAATATGAAATTTAAATAGAAATAACAATTCCATTAAAGTAGTCAATCAAATCGCAATTAATATTCCATGTATATAGGAAGCTGGTTAATTAATCAATTGGATATCAGAAGTTGTCATTTTCTATGGAGAGTTTAATTAGTATTAGTATTATTTCAAATGATAATTGTCGAATAAAAGTCAAATCGCAGTAATTTTCGTATGTGATTAATTTTATATGAATGAATGCGAAATAGTCTGCTTTCGATTGTAAAAATTCATACAAGATACCTTAGGGGTTTCATACACAGGTAATTAATGACATAACAATTGTTGTGGTTATAATTGGGGGGGTTATCTTATATTTACCATATCATTCAACTTGTGCTTTGTCTAAAGACTTTCATACTTTTTTAGAGATCTAACAAATATGGTTCATATATAAATACGAATGAAATTCTACCGATGCCCTCAGTTATCGATTCAAATTTCGTGCAAAAAGTGTGCATATCCTTGAAAACGATTTTCACGTCATTGATTTTTTTCCCCGCAAATTTAAAACAATTAGACACAGTGTAAAATGTTGCCAGACTATTTAAAAGACGGTATCCATAAAATTGCCAAAACCGAAGGATTCATTGATTATGGTATCGAAATGAAGGCTGGCTCAAATCATGGTGATAATTTTTTCGGCGTCCTGATTGCAGTCACGTTGTCTGGTACACGACGTCAACAAAACGGAGACATTCAATCGGATGAACTTCATTTGCTGTGCAAAACACCGCCAACGAATGAACTTCAAGAAAAAGACATCAGCTTAACGGTGACATTCAATCGTGAAATTTTTATGTACACGAAAATATTGCCAGCATTCGTTCAATTTCAACGTGAACGTGGATTGAATGAAGCCGACTCATTTGTATCATTTCCAAAGATGTTTGCGTGTGAAAAGAACGAGGAAAATGGATTGTGTAGTTTAATTATGGAAGATTTGCGTCCGAAAAATTTTCAAATGTGGCCCAAGGAACAAACAGTCCCATTAGAACATGAGCTATTCGTTATGCGTGAACTGGGTAAATTTCATGCGGTGTCATTCACGATGAAAGATCAAAAACCAAACGACTTTCGCGAATTCAAACAACTTAAAGATATACTTTATAATGTTATTTCTAAAAAAAAACCATTCAAATCAGCATTGCAAAAATTAATGGATCGTGTCGTTGACACACTGGAGAAGCCCGAGCACAAAAAACTCATGCAAAATTTCCGAGACAGTTTTACGGAAAGAATGGATAAATTGAAATCGGATCCATATTGCGATGAATTTGGTATATTAACGCACGGTAATTATTATTATTAATTTTTAGCTCGTACACTGACAAAACTAAGGCTATGATTTTTTTGATAAACAAATGTAAACCCCAATAATAAAAATCAAATGAAATTGCCCTGAAATTGATTGAAAACTCATTTGAATCAAAATTTCATTCAAAATAGGTGATTGCTGGAATAATAATTTCATGTACCAATATAGCAATGAGGTGAGTAAACTGCAAATAAAAAAGAAATTAGATTTAAAAAAAAAAATTAAATTTCGATTTATCTTTATCTCACAGAAGAAGCCGTTGAATTCAGTTTACATCATCGATTGGCAACTTTCTCATTATTCTCCACCTGTAATTGATCTACTCTACAATATTTTCTCGGGAACCGATCGTGAATTGCGCACTCAGCATTATGAAACGTTGTTGAAAACATACCATACATCATTGAGCGAAACAATAAAAAAGCTCGGAAGCGATCCGGACAAATTGTATTCGTATGATAATTTGACAATGCAAATGAAAAAGTACGGTGAATATGCATTGTTATACGGGCCATGGATTGTTGCGCTTAGGTTGGCCAAAGGAAAGGACATAATGAATGTGGACGAATATATTGAAAGTATTGCACGAAACGAAAATGTTGAAATGATCGGTATATTTGACGATGAAACTCAAGCCGAATTCAGTCGAGTAGTTAACGGTCTTCTCACTGATCTTGTCGATTATGGCTATGTAAAATGTGAATAGTATTGTAAAATCAAAATATGTACTGTTTTAAAAATGCAAACATGGATTTATATTTAATTTTTAATTTTACTTTATTCAATTCAAATTAAATATGTTTGTATTGATTTGTTTCTTTTTCATAAATCTAATATATCGTTTATTGCCTATCAAAAATCACATCTTTTTTGCTTAAAAATTACAACTGATGTCTTTTGACCATATTTTTTCATTGGATCAACCTTAACACCTGTCATTAGCCTAGCTTAAAAATCTATTTTAAGGCTCGTGCCATGTGTGTGTGTGTGCGCGTGTCGTGTGAACCATTTTTTTTCGTTCGACTAAATTGGCATGGTATTTTTTTTTCTTCTGATTTTTAGTTATTATTTCCAAATGATGAATAAATGGATAAATCTCCAAATGGCTGCGTTAACATTGTCTGAATAAGGGAAAAGCTCATCGCACGTTCACCAGCACACACAGCACGATTATAAAATAAACATCGTCATCAAAATGGTGTAAAAGGAGTTAATCTTCGAATTTTTATTTCCAAACATTTGGAATACATTTAAAGTACCTTTCAATATCACAAAAGATACACACAATCAAAATACATATATTTTCTTTGCAATGTTTGCCAATTGGTCGTCATCCGAAAGCAACTGTTTAAATCACAACACACATACACATACATTTGCCATTGAAATGCGATACATGCATTTCTATTTGCTAAATTGTGATTCAACATTTATTTTCGGTTTGACTGCGCCACATTGACGGTTTTTTTCTTCGTTCATTTTGTAGTTAAACAAAAAAATACCCTACAAATTACACGACAAAGAAAAACAAATACATAAATGTGCGCTGACTATTTACAAATGAATGAGATAAAGAAAATTATGAATTAAAAAGAAAAAAAAATCGGTCGAAACAAAAGATTGTTGTGTTTTTGTTATGCGAAAATTTTGATGCAGTTATGATGTGTAAATGTGTGAGTGTGTGTTTTTCTTTTAAATTCATTCTTGGTACTACAAGACACATTAATTTGAATGACAATTTTTGCTCAATTCTCAAGACGCACGTTTTAATTTTGTCGCTAAATACGAAGACGACGTTTTCTATTTCGAATGCAATATTTGTTTGTTTGTTTGATTGCGTTTTGAAAAAATTAAAACGTCGACCCCGATCACGACGTTATCCATAAAATTGATTTCGAAAAATAACAAAATATAAAAAGAATGGCATGTTGTCAATTGGCAACATTGTCATTTTAAAGCATTCATTGTCGTCGTCGTGTTTTTTTTTTGGTTGTCAAAACGAAAAAAAAGTGATATGGAAAATTCTGAAATTTCAATCAGAAAAGTGATTGTCAAAGAGCGCCTTTTTCAAAATTTGAAAAGTGATTTTACTTCGAAGAAGTCGTTTGACTTCTTAAGAATGACCAATGACGACCGTTCTTCTTGAATTTTCTTGCATTATTCACATTGTTTTCGTTTTGCATGTTTTTTTTTCTCATTTTCTTTTTTATGGTGTTTCATATATAAATTAAATAAATTATGTTTACAAAAATAGTATAATAATGTTAAGTATTTAACTAAAATGTGTGTGTGTTGTGTGTATGTGTGTTTATGTGTATAAAATTATCATCTTTGTTGGGATTTTGTGCGTTGTTTGTTTAGTATAAGTAAATGTTGATCATCATCAAGTTATTTTTTTGTTGTTTAGTTATTATTTTTGTTTCTTTGAACTGTAATGGTGTTTTAATGTTGTGTTTTGGGCGTTCGTCTTGCGATCGTCCGATAATTTGTGTAGACCGATGTGTCTGGTTGGATGCGTGCACTTGAGATTTGTGCATTTGGTGCGGCTGGCGCTTCAAGATGTGTTGATGGTAATTTTGATGATAATTTTGATGGAAAATATCCCGTGCCAATGGTCATTGCTTCACGATCATCATCGATTGGAAGTGGTTTTGTTTTATCTTCATCGACCGGTGTACCGTCGGGTTTAACGCGAACAATCATTGGACCAATCAAATAGTTGGATGGTGCATTCACCGCTGGTAAATCATATTGATAATTGATATTTGTAGCAAATGGCAAATGATTTCCGGGATCTTCATAACCTTGTCCATACGACATATCCATATCCATGCTATACTCAACTTTATCGTTTGGTTTATTATTGATCATTTTTTCGTCGTTTTTTGGCTTCTTTTGCTCAACAGCGACCACATCGTCGTCATCATCCATGCCATCAAACAATGGATTCCGTTCAAAGAGACCGGTTGGCTGACGAATCGGAGCCTTTGTTGTTTGCTCCTTTTTACCTTGCATCATTGGATGTCCGTCCATAATCGAGTCCCAAACTATTTTTTTAAAAAAGAGAAAAGAAATTAGAAATAATTCCATTCGAATATTTGGTATTAAAAGCAAAGAAAAATTAGAGAAAGAAAACATCAAATCAAAAACGCACACAAACATTTGCAAAATTCAAATGAACCCATTATCGATTTAGGTCATAGCGAACTCATACACTTTATATTCAAAGTCAATCAATTTTAATTAATCATATTTTTTTTAAATGATAATTAGCAACAAAGCCAAAGTGAAATTGCACCGAGCAAAGTCAATGAGTTCAATGTTGCACATGCAAACATTCAGTACGCTATTTGGGCTTGGCTATTTGTCGATAATTTATACAGATAATAACTTAAAATCTGTTTTGTTCTTCTCTGTCTGTCTCTTTCACTTGCCGTTTATTCAAACAAATATACAAAAATCGTCTATGATTGCGTGTGTGTGTGTGTATGTGGGGAGCGGGGGGATTTTCGATTATGCACAATTTACCTACTTAGCGATCGTAAAAGGTGAATGCTATTAATTTGTTGTTTTTAATTCTGTTTCATTCCCGCTATGTACACTTTTGTGTCGTAAAATCCGTTGCAATTTGCAGCACATTTTAAATTCGAATGTTTATTACGTTTGTTTATGTAAGCGCGCACGTATTTTTCTATTGTAAATTTCTAGTTAAACATGCAAGGTTACTTCCCAATTGCTGTGTACAGATATCCTTCCGTCTCTTCAATTTCAAGTGAAATAATTGGCTGTTATTTTTTTTTCGCTTCCAGTAAACAGATCTATTGATATTTAACTTGCAAAGTTAAACAGAAATGCGGCTTTTTTATTGCAAAATACATTTATAGTTCAAGTTACAACAGAAAATATGCCGGGATTAAGTATGAATTCTATGTGGCTTTTTAAATGGATTTTCCCATTTTTTTCCTAGTTTCGACATGAAATCTTGCAACAAGATTTACACGTTCCGTAATAAATAAAATCTGTTTGTAAGACAGCAAGCAAGTCAGAAACAAAAAAAAAAATCAAAACTAGGCTGCTTTAAGCAGATGAGAACTATTCAGATTCACCGATCTCGGCACTTGTTCGACAATGTAAGCGAAAGATAAACAACAGAATTTCGAGAGAGCGAGAGATAGAGAGTATAGTAAATGCATCACACAACACATCGGATGCACACGAGTGCATAAGAGAGTGAATATAAAAAAAAAACATTTTAAAATGCAAAGGCCGTTTTAAGTCACGATTTATGAGTTTAATTTACAATTTAATTGTTATTTCTCGTTCGATAGTAAATGGTTGGTTTATAAATAAAATTTTATTTTGTTGTTGCAATTGCTATTCGTGTTCGGATTCTCGGTTCTTCATTTTGCAAACTGGATGCGTATAACCAATACTATTGTAATCTTGGCTATAAATCAGATCCATGACCATCCCATAGACGATGACAACAGCAGAAAGAAACACAAGAGTATCTGCCAATCGGTCAACTTTTTACATACATTTCTAAATATGAATATACACACACACACTGTTCCCACATTCATGGGAACCAAACACATGTTACACGTACTCGTACATTATATATATGTATTATTGTATTTATTTGTGTTTGTCTTTTTTATTCGGGGTTTTGTATGTTATTTATTGTGGTGCTTGCGAGCGAACCGATTAAATCGGATGAGATTGGATCACAATCTTTGTGCTTGGGCAGCAGAAGCAACGGCGTACAAAAATGGCAGTGAGAGAAGGAACACAGAGAGACACAGAGAGAGAAACAGCGCACATTACTTAATCTGACATACAAGAGTCATCGCATTTTAAAAATAGAATATTGCATCGTGCATAGAATTCGCAATTAGTGTATTGAATTTTTTTTTCTTCTTTTTCTTTTTCTTCTTTTCGTAATTTGTAATTAGAGACAGACAGACAGACATGGAGAGAACCCTTTCAATAACTATGCGACGGTGATTTGTATTACGATTGAATATCTAGATTGAGCACGCTACATGTGCACGAGCGCGCATTTCGAAGTTTCTCGAAGCTTTCGACTTCATTTTCGATTCGAAAGAAGAGAAGAAGAAGAAGAAAAAAAACATATCAAATTGAAAATTCTTGAATCTTCACGCTTTGGACACTACTACGAAATGCGGTTAACCCTCAAACGCACACGTGGGGTCTCTTAGGCCCTAAGAGTTAGTTTTTTGAAAAAATCACAAAAATATAAAAAAAAATTGGAAAATTTCGCTGAGCGTTTTCTTTTTTAATATCATATCTATGTGATAAAATCAAAAATTTCAATGTTTGGTGCATAAATGAAGTTTTGGGAAGTCTTATACAAAATACTAACGTAAAAGCACAACGGGGTCTTTTGGACCCCAAAGTATTTTGTATGGGAAATGATGTATTCTGTATGGGCCAATATGAAACTCATGTAGATTTGTTGACACAACAATTTACATTTCATCAAACAACAACACAGTAAATTGTTTCGTCCGTGACGTATACTGTTCATCGCAAATCAAATGGCATTTGCCATTATAATATATATTCATACATTGTTTTTTTTTGGATAGGATAGATCCGTAAGATCTCCACAAGAGCTTGATCTAAGCGTGCATACGCCGCCGCATGATATATTCGTTCGTTTTTCTGTGTTGCTTCGACGCGCAAATCAAAGCAGGCGTGCCAATCAAGTATGTATCATGCGGCGGCCTACGCACGCTTAGATCCAGCTCTTGCGGAGATCTTACGGATCTATCCTATTCAAAACACAATGTATGGGCATATATCGTGAATTTGGTGAACGTTGCTGGTGTGGCAGGGTTTGCCTTGTTGCGAACGTCTAACAACATGTTTGCCAAGTATGGAGGAAGAACGGAAGCAGCGCGATCTCATCGCACTCCATATAAAGCAATGTAATTGGTTTCGATCACGCAAATGTGCTGCCACCTGGTGTCTCAGAGTTAAGCTGATATATCACACATGCTTCTTGCAAATGCAGAAGAAGAGGAAGGAAAAATGTTTACATAGGGTTGAACTCATAAATGCCAGAGAGCTACAGTGTTCAAAGTGCGATCGCCCTTCGGGAAGCAGTCTCGAGACTCGATCTATATTGATCTCACATATCGAGAGGTAGTTCGGCGCAGTACACGAAGCACATTAACTGGCCAACGACTGTCGATTAGCGATATTAGTGAAAGACACGACTGTCTGAAAGTCGTACATATCAATAACTACCAAGCATTTTGGCTATAATTGATTTTTTTTCCATAAAAATCAATATTAAATTGTGATGCTGTATTGGAAAGTAAGGAATAAGCTATGGTTTAACTATAAAATGACATATTTTACTCATTGGATACCATTTTGCATAAGTTTTGTATGAAATTTCTCATGGGTCCAAAAAGACCCCACCTGTGCGCTTACGTTACTGTTTTAGCCTGTGCGGTTAAGGGTTAAATAACAAATATCTGTTATTCGTCGTTGTTTTCTTCTTCTTTTGTTTTATTCAATAAATACAAACGATGTATAACAAACAACAATTCGAATGAAGAAGAAGAAGAAAACAATCTATTTTGCACGAGAATAATGCAGAGAAAAAGACGAAACAGTGCCAGAAAGTTGTTAGATAAATGTCGGCTAAACTGATGATGGAAATTTCGTAGCATGAAATGAAAAAAAAATATGCAAAAGAATGATGAATGCGAATGGTCGCAAGCGCGGAGGATTAATTTGTGTCTCAATGCTGTGCGAATAATGCACGTAACCGAATGTGTGCTGAAGAATAAAAATGCCAACCAAATGTTGGCTCATCCACACAGTGAGACACAAAGAGCGTTTACAAAATGTTGCAACCGAATAAGAAGCATGTTGCACACACAATAATATTCAACAAAGACCAAAGGTGCCATAATCACTTTTTTTTCTCTCTCTTCATTTTCTCTATCTTTGATGTGTACAATGGCTACTGCAATGCGACTCAATTCAGTCGTGTACGCTTTTTTCATTCGTTCGCATTAACATCATCTTCATAAGAGAGGATGGATTAGATAACTGACAATAAACAAGAGTATCCCGTCAAAATTATATATATATATATATATATGCGGCAATGTGTTACATTTCTGTTTTCAGATTGGCCGTACACAATGCATCTTTTGACTACTTTCTTGCTTTTTTGTATTGTTATAATCTGTCTGTTTTGTCTGTGTATTTCAAAATTCTTTGGAAATGAAAAAAAAAGAAAATTTATTCACTTCTCACTGTCTTTTACCACTGTCTTTATTTTTGTTTCGCTGAAAAAAATGTGTATAAACGATGAATTTTGATTTGCATAAGATGTGATCGCGCGCATTCGGATCAATACACACATGCCCATATTTATTCAGAAATGACCAAAAAAGCGAATAAATCTCTTTTTTTCGTCCTCTTCTGTAAATGCACATAGTGTCAAAATGAAATGAGTTGCTGCAAGGCAATCATTTTAAAAAGAAAACAGATTCCATCGGAAGAAACAAAACCATCCGTCATATATTGGCATGCATGATTTGCGTGACTTAACTGCGTGTTTAAAAAATGAATCGAAAACGAGAAAAAACACATGCAAAAAAAACATACACACAAAATATATTAAACACCGTTCGAACATGATGTGATTTATGGATTCGCAAAATATATTGTGTTTATTTTCCATTTTAATGTAAAGAGGTCATCTTTTCGAGATCTCTCAAGAGATGAGATGAGATGCGAAAAAAAAAACGCAGCAACAATAAATTCGTGAAAAAAATTTATACTTACTTATGTCGTTGGCACTGCGTTGATATGGATCCATGGCATCCAAATGTGATTCGTTCATTTGCTCCAATTTGGCAACGCCATATGACAATAAATCGTGTTTACATTTTGGAACAACTGTGTCGGCATTCGATTTACAATATTTGCTCACTTCTTTTGCAAACATCGAATATAAATATGACATCTATGCATTGGTGATGATGTTATTTGTGCGCAATGGCGAAAGTAGGTCCAGAATGGCGACAGAAACGTAAAGAGAAAGAGAGAATAAAAAGAAAAATTAATTAGTTTTGTTGTTTTTGCTATTTGCTTTTGTCACATAATGTTTTGTTCGGTTTATTTGTTCCTGTACATGTTAAATGGTTTTTTTTTCTTTCTATTTTGTGTTTATGTGTGTATTGCTTCATCGATCATATTCCAAATTTATCGTCGTCATCGTGTGATGACAAATTAACAACAAAAATTTCGAATTTGCGTAAGAAGCAATATTTGTGGCCAATATATATTTTGCGAACTAAAAATAAAAACGAACACACAATTTTACCGCATAAATAATGCATTTATCGGTATTGAAGTGGTTGGGTTTATTTGTTTACAATGCGGTCGCATCAAATTCATCATAGAAAACTTTCAGTTTGTGTTATGGCTTTTTTTTAAATATTCGATGCGTGCATGCGTGCGTGTTTTTTTTTTCGGTGTAAATTGTCACCATTATGTAATGGCATGGAGTGTATGTCACCTTGTTTTGTGAGTGTAAGCGCGCGCGGGCCACATCATGTGTGGTATAATATATATTATCGGAGACAGACAGAGAGAAAATATAGCGCGCGTTCATATCTTTCATACGCAATCTTTTATTATATATCAAAATCGCAATATCGATTATATTGCGGAGACATATGCATACACTTCACGTTCATTCATTTGGAGTCGAAACAAGTATAGAGTCGTTGCTAATCAATATGTAGAAATTGTTTATGAAAAAAAAAAACGGTTTTTTGTTGTTGGTTTGTTCGTTGATTATATTGGCAATTGCAAAGTAATTACCAATGAAATGAAGAAGAAATCGGGTAATTTAGCAATAATCGCTATAATCGCCCTCAATGCTGAGAGCTGTTGCTACTGGCTGACTGGCTGACTGGCTGGCTGGTTTGATATGAGAGAGCGCGTGCGCGCATCATGTTTATATGGAAATTTTTGTTCATATATGATCACAACGAATCAATGTGAACCTTCGATGTACATGATAATAGCGCTTGTGGCGATATTTGTCAATACAATATTGACAGCACTTGTATGTATTTCGTTTCGTTGTTGCCCCCAAATCAATATCGTTATTACGCATGGCACAAAACTTGTTTTTAACGTAATTCATACGTTTGATTTGCACCAAACACACTAATAAAACAAGAACCACACACCGATCGAACGATTGCTTGATTATGAATTTTTTTAAATTAATCGACGAAATATATTGATAATCAAAAATGTAAAATGAAGCTTCAATTTGAATAAACAGGTAGATTGGTGCAATCGTTATTGGATACAAAATAATAATAATAATAAACATCCAACAACCACAAATAACGCGAAATATGAACAAATGTTTCATATTGAATAGGCAACAAAACTAAATTCACAAAAAAACCCAAATTCCATGTGCTCACCAACTTAAAAGTAAATGTAATTTTAATTGTTTAATTGTCGATAACACATATTTGTGGTTTTTTTTTCGCTGTTCGATCGTTCATTTATTACTGCATTCGGTGAGTTCATTTAACAAATGCATATACACACACGCATTTTTATGTGATGGCGTTTTGCAGTAATATGCATTCATTCATTCACCGACGCTCTTTAAAATTCACACCACTGACGATAAATACACACCAACTCAACAATTCATTTTCAATTTAGTTTTTTTTTTTTTGGTTTTGTTCATTTGTGTCGGAATGCGTTGATTTTATTTGGCTGATGGTTTTGTGTACAATTTTTTGTTGGTCGATGATTGTAGCAGTTTTGTTTTTGTGTGATTTTTATCAAATCCTTTCTTGATCGAAAACAAAAATCGCTTCAAAATGCCTCAATTTTATGGTTACAACGTGATTAAATGAGCATTGAAATAGTTGTAAATGTGTACGCGCTAAGTGAAGCAATAATCTATTACATTTGTTCAGTCAAATATTATATTATATTAATCAAACAGTAGCTAAAATGCACAAATGCAAGCGCGCACGAGCGACTACGTGCCGATTGTTTTGTTGCTTTTTTTGCTGGTTTGTCGACACAATAAAAAAAAACATTTGCAAAACAAATGCATAGACAATAAATGAATTCATTCAACAAATAATGTTTTTCGTCGGTTTTCACACACCGAGAGAGCAAGAAACGCCGACGCGTGAGCATGATGGAAAATCATCAGAATTACCAAATAGAGACATGAAGCATAGGAACGAAATAAACAGAGAAAAAAAAATACCAAATTGGAGGAACTGAATAAAGAAAAAAATTATAATTCGTTTATGCTATTTACAATGTTTAGTACCTGAAGCTCGTGCGCATTCAAATTAATTTTTCATAGTTCACATTCACACAGATTTTTCGCGAATTTTCGTTTCTCGGTGTATGCGCAAGCGCATAGAAAAATGAAACAATGAACACATAAAATGAAAAAAAAATATTATACATCCATAGCAACACACGTCTCTTGGCCTCACATTGTAGTCATTGCCTATATTTGCAGTGCTTTCGCTTTAACCGTCGCCGCTTTTTTTCTCTTGTTTTCTTCACATATTTTTTTGGGTTGGTTTTTTGCGAGTCATGTGTGGTTCAATAGCCCAAAAAGTAATGCATTTAAGAAAAAAAATCTGTACATGCGTATATTTTAATTGTTTCTTTTTGCTTCAACTGAAAAAAGGCATTTATTGAAAATCGCTTGCATCTATCACACATTCATGTCTTTTTCTCTGTATTATTCATATTATTTTTTTTTGCTGGCGTACATTTCTATGCACCATTTTATAAGTATTTTTTTTTTCATCGCTGATGATATATGAAGTGAAATTGCATATTGACGACGCAACGAGCACACCGTAAAACAAACATGGAAGCGATAAAGAGATTGGTCATAGCCACAATGAACAAGAAACAAGTCACATCTTATTTAAATGCATGCGATATTACTGAATTGGACACATTTTGTGGTTAAGTATTGATGATATATGTTTGAAATTAGAAATTCCATCCAATTCATTTTGTTGAAAGTGATAAAAGTCACCACACACCAACCCATTCGACCTGATGATCAATGTGGTTTAAAAAAACAATGTTCACATACACGCACAGTCAGTTTGGTCACTTTTGTACAAGTCACTGAAATGCTTTTCCCTTTTTTAAAGATAAAAAAGAAAAGAGACGGTCGCTATAAAAGTGTTGGCCGATGAAAGGAGCGATAAAAAATAATATAAAGTATATGAGTAAGTACATAAAATTGAATAATTAAACAATAAAATCTAAAGCGAAGTGCATAAAATGAAATTCGGAAATAAGTTGTAGTTGCTTTTTCGGCAGCATGTAATTGTAAAATGGTTTTGATTGACTTTTTGGTTCCGTTAATTTCTTTCGTGTCTGTGTGTTTACTTGAATTTGCACGATTTTGTCATTTCACCTACAGATTTTCGTGTGTTTTTTTTAGCCATTTTCCTTCGTTCACTCGGCTGGAATTTTTCTTCTCTCACATTATTGTTAATCATAACAATTATCTCGTTATTTGCACATTTCTTCTTCTTTGCAGCTACTGCTGTTGCATGGGCATTCCATGTTTATGATTTTATGGCATGCTTTAGACCGTGCAATGTCGTGCCCAGAAGAGAAAATATGTATCATTGACAACAGCTAAAAATGACAACGACGAAAACACAACAGCAGTGGTATTAAGACTCTCTCTCTGTCTCTGTCTGTCGCCTATGTCGACTAGAGATACATGTGTTCGACAGAAAGATATCGAATAGACTCGATGAAAGGAAAATCCGCAAGAGAACGAACTTGAGAAATTGTGAATTTAACATTCAGCGAAATCGTATTGCATTGCATTTATTTATATGTATCGGGTTTTGTTTTTGGTTGGTTTTCGTTTTGCTGCTGCTTTGGTTGCTGTTGTTGTTAAAGCAAGTCAATGTACAAGGCAATTCGATAGTGGCCTTAAACATGAACTGTATGCGCACGAGATAGAGAAAGAGTGACATGAGTCTTATTTTGATTCATGATCGATTTATTATGCCTGTGCATTATTGTATCAACCGCCTTTTTTGTTCAATTCAAATTCTAGTACACATATTTTTGTGTAATAAATCATAAACGGCAAAGTGAAGTGCACATTCGCGACTTATCTGTAATTCATCTAAATGGATTCGTTTAGATTTCGAATATGCAAAAGAATAGAAGCGTGCGTGAAAGATAATTTTTCGTTTGTATAATTTTTATTTCATTCAAGCACATTCAATGCACACATTGTACACGATCTAACCGGATAACGGTATGTTTCACACCATTTTCACACGTTATTGCGTTGGATCGTCGCTTTCAGGCAGCTCACGGCTACGAAATTGATTTCACAAACGAAAAAGTTAAGAAAGAAAAAACACACCAAACAACGGCATAGAGAAAAGAAGGAAAAAAACCTCGCAGATGCTAAATGAAGCATGTGTGCAAATTGAAAATGGAATGAAAACACAAACAAAACAGTACTCACAGTAGCAACAATAATAAAAAAAAAACTACAACTGAATATGGTTTCTATTCATACATATCTAAAGCTCCATCTCAATTTCCATTGCTCCACGATCACTATCTTGATGAAATCATAAACACACTTTCAGCCAAGCAGTTAGACCAATTGAAATATTCTGCAATTCAAAGCATATGCATTCTGTATTGTGAACTAAAATAGCGGTTAGCAAACGAATGTGTGTGCGCATTTTTGTTTTCATCAGCTGCAGCAACCAGCAGATCTTCTTTGTTTGTAGTAGATTACATTTTTTTTGATGTGGATCGTTTTTTTTCTGTCTATCGATATTCTTGCACAGAAAATGCGAACGATGCAACGCGTGCCGATTTGATATCGATGGTGGAAAACCATCGGCCAATTCAATTATACTTTTAATTTCGATAAAATAATTCGCATTCAGAGACACACTCAAAAACTCATGAAAGTAACTAAAACAAAACAAAAATTGTAGCAAACAATTAAATTGAAAATGAAACGACTTATTACCCATTTACTAAACATTCACTAATTGTAAAGAAACAACAAAGCAACAACAACAAATGAATTACTTCATATATATATGAATGAATGGAGAATTTATGCATACGCCGATTGAATGTGCAATGCGACACGAAAGAGAAAACACAAACAACCGAGCAAATTGAAATATGCGTGCGCCCGTCGTGCCCATGTGTGTTGAGTTTATGGGGACAAATTTTTTTTCTCTCTCACTGTCTGATTGTGTGTATTTCAAATTGTTTTATTAAACAAATTGCGAGCAAACCACAAATAAACAATATCAACTAAAACCAACAAAAAAAGATGTTTTTTTACACCATTTGAAATGAATAGTAAGTAATTATGCAAAAAAAAACTGAACCAAAGAGCAGAAAAATGAAATATATGTAGATTATTATTCATAGCAATTGGCAATAAATGCTGGTTTGTCGCTCTGTATTTCATTCTTTTTTTGTTCGTGATGTATTTGTGTGTGTGTGTTGTTCATAAAATTCATCTGAAAAATGTGTCACGTATTTGGGCGTTATGAATCGATGATGACAGAACAATCGGTGATTGTCGATTCTCAATCATAACCAAGTACAAATATTTTTATTTGACCCTTTTAATTTTGGCTTATTATGCAGAAATGACACAATGTTTCGCCTCTTCAGTGAATGAATCATCACAATTCAACCGACACCGATCGACCGAATACACACGAAAAATCGGCAAATTGGCATTTGTGTTTTTCTATTCAACAAGAATGATCGGCACAAAATTTGCGTAGACAAAACATGCCATGCCAGATGAAGCTCCAACAATTTGTGTGTTGGTTGAATGGATTTTATTTTGTTCGTCTTCTTGTTCGCTGTTTTGCCCATTATTTCTTTTGTCCTTTGTTGAAAACTCACAACACAAAGTATGAAGTACGTTTTCAATTTCAAGTATATAATATTTTACGATTCGATATTGTTGTCAATATGAGCTACAATTATGGAAGTGTGATTTTCAGTTTTTTTTTTCTCTTCGTGTGTGTATGTCTTTAGTTCTTCCTTTTCGATAAATGCAAAGATGACACCAGAAAAACATCATCATCTCATCAACAACCTTGAGTTGTATTTTTACGCGTACGTACATATATGAAAAAAAAAATCCAAGAATATATCCCTACATTGTTAAATTTCAATAATGTTTGTGTATTTTTATCGCTTTTATTTTTGGGCCCACCAATTAAGGCATACGATAAATTTTTATGAAACGAAGAAGCAATATCAATGATTTGAATCAAAACGAATTAAACAAATAGATGATGACCTACCTTTTCGTTACGTCCAAAGAATTCCCACATCGGAATGGCGGAGCCGGAACACATTGACAACAATGTTGTCAATACAACAATTGTGTAAAATAATTTTGCCATTCTTGATTGTATGTTCGTTACTTTTCTCGTATAAAAAAAAATCAACAAATACGAAAATAATGATTCTCAATTGAAAAATCTCTCACTTTTTACGATTTTCAAACCAGAGAATGAAGCGGGTTTAAAATGACAAAAATTCGAAATCGTCGACTTTCTTATATGTCCCACTGATATTTAAAATACGGCACGTTATTATAGTTTCAAGAGAGAGAAAAATCGGTGTTTCTTTCTCGTATTCAACAATTACAAAGTCGATTGATGTTTACTTGTTATTATTATTATATATTTTTTTTCGTTACTTTTTTGTTTTATGAATTTCTCTTTGAGGTTTGCTGTTTTGCTACTTAAAATTTCGATCAGATCAGTTTAAACGTTTCACTCACGCGCACACTCTCTTTAATGATCTCTTGTGTTCTGTGTTTACTGCTATTACTTTGTGTTCAACACGAGAAAGGTTCGTTTCGTGTTTTGTATGTTCTTTTGTGTTCAAATAAAATTTAGTTCCGGTTTTTGTTGCAAAAAAAAGCAACAGTTTATCACGTTTATGCTTTTTCTTTTTAAAAACAATACACAAAATGCGCTTGATTATTGATCTTCAATATAGTTTTTGTTTCATTTCACATTTAAAATTCGGTTGATGTTGCTGTGTGTTTGTATTTTGGCACTTACGAAGTAAATTTGTTTTAAACAACTGAGACAACAATAACTTGAGAAAAGGAGAAGACAAAAATCGTTGTTTCGATAATTTGGAGGGAAAAAAATTTAAAAAATGCTTGTGCTTTTAGTTGAAGCTCTCGTTATGGAATGAGTAACCGCATTGAAAATCGCACAACTTTATATATACAGACAATCGGCTTTGGCTACTGACGTCACAGAAAAAGCAATGCGCGAGCGTGCGCGCTCCCTCTCTCTTTCACACTCTTGCTACCGACACACACACATCCGCCATACTATACGCTCGAAATAGTCATACGAACACAGTTCACATACAGCATACGGTATTCACCATGAAAGCATGCGAAGAAGTAGACAATGAATACAGGAGAGACGAGCGAGTTTGATTTGCGTGTTGATGTTGACGCCAAACCGTAGTAAATCAATCGAGAAGAGAAATAGCGACATGGCGGCAATGACTGTGTTAAACTATGGATTTTTCTTTTGTATCTCTGTCGCTCTCTATCTCTTTTCGATGCTGCAGCTTCTTTTTTTTGATCATCTTCTCTCTGAATTCGATTTCGAGTTTTGGTTTCGTTATGTTTTTGAATATATATATATATATATATATATGTATTGTTGTTGTTGCTTTCGATTACGTTAAATGTTGATCACGATATTGAATTTATAAAAAAACACACCAACAACAAAATGCTTCGTATAGAACGGAACGAAAATGATGTTCTTGATGTTTATTATTTTCGTGAGCATGCGATGATTGTGCTTGGTAAAATTGCAATTAAAATCGTATGCAATCATCGTCATCATCATCGTCGATGATTATATTCGATGAATTTAAGCCAATTCGATTCACTGTCAGTCAATAAACTTTATGATGTTTTGTGGTTGGCGCGAGTGCACGTTCATCATGAATTTTGTTTGCACATAAGTGTTATTTCTCATTTTGTGTATATTTTGTCGACGTAATCGTTATTCAACAAATTTAATCGAATGTAAATGAAATTCAGTGCGATAAAGGGAATCGATTGGCTGCCGTTGATGCCATCGACAGCGTAAGATGTAAGGCTCGTACGAACTGTCCGTACTATACCATAATTTTTGGCTATGATTTGATGATGACGAATGATGAAGAGAAAAAATAGTAACAAAAATGGCAAAAAATGTTAAAAGATGGTAAACCACGCGAACGTTCCGCACCGACCCACAAAAAACTATTCATCGCAAAAATGTTTTTTAGCGATGGTTTCGTGTAAATTCACAGTTTTCAAAGGCATTCAGTTTTTGGTGTAATTAATTTCGTAAACCATGTACTCGATTTCTGCTGCACTTTAACGCATAGTAATGCACACATGAAGCGTTTGATGTTGCAGTTTCTATTAATGCATGGCATACCTAAGTAGGTAGTCGCAAACCATTCCATGAACATTTTCTTGTTCAACTATATATGACACAAGATGATCACCGTTGAAACAGTGAGTGATAGAGAAAGAGAGCGAAAGAGAGAGAGAGAGAGAGAGAGAGAGATAGAAAATGCGTGCATCGAGAAATGCAATAAATACCCACCGCAATACAAACAAGATTATTATGAGTAAAAAATGACAAATATGTGTGAAAAATGCCCATAAGAAAGTAAAGAAGAAGAAAAAAGAAAGAGAAAAACAACAACTAGTAAACTACGGTTGAAGAAAGATTACCGCTTGCGGCTTACGTGCCCGATTGCATCGCCCGTCACATTTCTATATTTGTTACTCTTTTTCCGTTGGCTATTTCGTTCAAGAGAACCGTCATTATGCGATTTGTCGTGATTTCTAGTAAAAAAAATAAAATAAAAAAAACGAATTTGCTGGTTATGCTATATAAAGGTTTTTCCCATTTAAAATTTATTGCAATTTTCTACTCCTCTCCCTATCTCTCTCTTTCTCAATTTAAACTTTAAATATTTATGTAATTATTCAATCATGCTGCGGGTATTTTGTCATACATCAAAATTGCATCAAACCAACAAACTCATTTGAAGAGACGCCAATTATTTGTTTATTTTTCTGTCCTCTCCTCGCATCTCATCAATGCACCGATAATCTGATTGCAGCAGCAGTGCCATCGAAAGAGAAAGAATGCGGGCATATGTAAAGTGAAACGTCAAATCTTTTCTGAGCGAGAGAGATAGAATTTTTTTTTTCATAAGCGCCACATTTTACGAGAATTAATGGGCCAAAGATCAATATTAATTTCGTTAAATCATTTTCAGTCAGCGAAATGGGTACAATTCATATCAAATATTGTATGATCGCTCGATATGGCGATAATTATTAAAATGGCAAACGAAAAATTAATACTGTCCGTTTGCTATTTATAGCACATGCATATTACATTATTATTTGTTTATATTGTTGTTGGCCGATTTGATAGTGTGGTGCATGTGGAAATTTCCTGTGGGTGTGCTATAATCATATCATAATTTGTCACGTTTTACCGATCTCGACGCTCTTTTCTCTCATTCTTTTTTTTTTCTTAAACTTACAATCAAAACGCGCGGTCACCTTTGTAAATACACATTACAATGAAGAGGAAAACAAACCACAAATTAAATTAAATTAATCGTTTTTGTGCGCCAACCACTTGAGAGTGTGCACCGTTGCAATGACATGTCCGCGATAAAAATTGCTGTATGTACGTCTCTGTCTATCCTGTTGTATGCGCTCTGCGCCGTTGACGTCGTTTGCAAATTGCATTTAAATGAAAACATTAATTTCCTCTTTTGATTTGGAAAACACAGCTTTAACGGCACATATATATTCTTTGTTTGTTGGCATTTGTATGTTTTATTTCTGTCTGAATTTTTGTTATTCGTTCACGATATTCTGTGCCTACAATTTTGCTGTTTCTTCTTCTTGGTGGACACTTTTTTTGGGCACTTTATTTTTGGCCTTTCTTTCAAACATAAATCATTTAAGTGCAATTACACAATGTCCGCTGTTAACCGGAAAGATTGTATTTTTTTTTTTTTTTTTTTTTGTTGAATTTTGCAAAATCATCATCTGGCGACAATCACAAACAAGCACGATTCCAAATCACATAATCAACATTGCAGTTAAGAGAAACAAAAAAAAGGGATTGGTCAGAAGATGAACATGGTTCAAAACATACTCGAGAAAAAGAATACGCACATACAGCGGCATAAAAGTGTCGCTGCAGCAAATTAACAATATGTAATCATGTTGTTTATGTGGGCAGAGTTAGATTCGACAGCAACAGAAAAAGACGACGACGGCGACTGATGAGATGAGAAAGGAAAAGGAAGTTATGCGGCATTGACCGTAGGTGCAACACAATGTCGAATAACCCCAGATACGGTCGCTGTTTTTTACTCGATTTATAAACGCATGCGCCCAAAAAAAACGAATTCCCATTAATAATTAACTGTTTCTTGTACATTTTGCGAATGCAATTTTCGAAATGATGGAATATTTTTCGTTGCGGCCGCTGTGGGCTAACAGTAAAAATTAATATTGATATTTGCGTCTGGCGCTACTAATTTATAATTCGCGAATGAGTGGGCGAACGAATTCTTTTTTTTTCGGTGCTCGCCGCACGTTTATTTTGACTTCAACGACATAAAAACATCGGATTAACATTCCATTTCCATTCAAAAGGCAGATTCACATATAGCCATATTAAGTAAAGGCCGAATTATTCACGCGACCATATTCCAGTTAATATTACTCTTTTCACCCTGAACCGTATTAAGTTCAATTATGAAATCGTCAAGAAATGCGTGCTTATTATTAGCACAAATTCTGTTTAAAAAAAAATCCCAGGAAATGATTAATGAAAATCGGCTTTTTGTGTCGGATTCGCTTTTAAAATCTTCATTTGTACGCGATTATTTTATCAATGCTTGTCGAGAGAAATGTTTATTTCTTCCGAGATGTTATTTCTCAGAAGAAGAATTGATCATCGACTTTCTTTGTTTGATGACATGAGACATTTGCAAACGGATCTATGGTTTGTGGTAAGTCTACATTCGAATAACGTTGATGACTAATTGATAATGCGAACTTTTTTTTTCTATTTGTACTCTGTTTATTTGTTTGTTGACTGTTTTTGTATCGATTTTTTTTCCTAGTAAGAAATTCCATTATTTTGCGTATTTTTTTTTTTTTTTTTTTTTTGAATGAGGTCTTCTTCAATCTGAATAATAAATTGAAATTCCAGGTGAACGAACGAAGTCCGCGATATGTCGTTCTAAATTTGGCGAGCAAAAAAAATGTATAGGAAAAACATCGCATTTATTCTCAAACAGTCACGAATAAAAACCAAAATAACTCGGCCAGCTGACGTGAATAGAAAGCCGTAGAAAAACAAAGTCTTCTTCTTCCATGAAATAGTGATTGCTACTCTACGATCGATGATTGGCTGATGAATTGACAACATATTAAAATTTAAATATAAAATCAAAATGGAATCGAAATAGCAAAATAACAAATTTGATCATTAATTAGTGTTTCGAATGTTTATTTTGATTTTTGATGACTTGTTCTCCTTTACGGTATTTTTTTTGGTTGAGAAAATATAATACGCAAAAATTGGCGTCATTAAGTAACAACAACCATCTTGACAAAGTGTACAATAGATTTATCGGTATAATAACGAGCATGCAATGGTCTGCGGGTAAGCGAATGAACGCGTGCGTTTGTTGATTATGAAGCGCAGCGCAATAATAATGGATTGGTGCCGTTTCTTTTGTGCTGTCTGCGGAAAGAACAAGTCATTGGCTTTGTCCGAACAATACATGAAAGAGGCGAATGCATTTTAATGCATGCAGCCAACGATATTATTTTAATAATAAACATGCAAACCGTTGATTCGAAAGTTCGTTGATTCTAGATTTGTGCTCTTTGCTAAAAAAACATTCTATGATCGATGTGGGGTTTTTCTGATTTTTTTTTTTTTTTTTTTTTTTTCATTTTTAAAATCCTCCATCTGTTTCAATGTTGTTGTTTTTGCCTCTCAGAATTAAAGTAGAACACATCGTAGAAATGATAAGCAGCAACAAAAAAACTGCCCTGATTATGAATTAAATATTTGCTTTCGAATGAGAGTAATGTGGCAGCAGTGAAAAAATACACGAAAAATG